GCGATATCAGCAAGAATTTATGTTTATGTGTTGAATATAAAATTTTTTTTTTACAGCCCCTCTTTTTTTCTGAGCAAAAATGACAAGAAAACATGTGTGAAGGAATCTTATTTGCTGGAAGTGTAGAAATGTATTTTTTTCCCTGTATTCTATTTGCACACGAAAGCGATAGTGAAAATCTCGGGTAATTTATCAGAATGTGTTGTGGAAATATAAGTTAAAAGATATTTCAATTTAAATAATCTTATCTATGGTGAAACCTTCTCTCTCTCTCTCTCTTTCACTCTTTACAATTTTGCTCCAAATGCGCCATATTTCAAAGTGACTTTTCATCTACAAACGACGCAAAAGAACTTCTTCAATTTCTATTTAAAGCCACTCTCGCAGCATTTGCTTCCTATTCGCTTTTCTCCAGCCACTTTTCCTTATCAATGCACTTCAGTTCTACGCTAATTTTGCAGCTCATTTGGTGAAATCATAAAAATTAATGTCATTACAGCATTTTCTTTTATGCCACACTCTGTGTGTGTCAAGTCATTCATAAAAGAACATTATTACTGTGAACTCTCCATTCGCCTTCTTTTTTTCCTTCTGCAATTCTCCGGAAAACCACAATAAATGAGGAAAAAAATACACTCACAAAAGATAAACTTCGATATTTGACTATGCTCAACAAATTCATGATATTGAATCACTTCAACAAAATTTCTGTAAACAAATAATTCAAGAAAGAAAAATTCTATCTCTATTCCACACTCTATGTTAACATCATTTCATAACAAATAATGTATCAAGTGATTTTTTTTGGACTCCTCAAACGGTATTTGTTGAGTAAATTCTTCAGAAATTTTCCACTGATCCAAAGAAGAGCACATGATATTTTGATGATGATGAGTTTCTTCTACAAATTCCAATCATCGTCAATAATAACAATATAGAGTGACAATATTTTTTCAGACACTCACACAATAACAACAACCAAAAAAACCGAGGTGAATAAAGAGAACGAGGATAAACTATTTAATCAACTGTATACATAATCGTTCGACAACCTCAGCACTTTTCATCCAATGCTCAATTAGTGGCTCGAGAGCCCTTTTTTCTACATTCATTCATTCACTGAAGAACCCTTCAACAGCCCCCAGTCAACATTCCGCCAAAGAGAAATAATTCACCAATTAAAACTAACAGAGTAGAATTTTGCTGAAAGGACTTAATTTGTGTTGAGTGGTCATTAGTTAAAATATTTCTGGGTGTCTGTGTTTTGTCGTCGCGTTGCAAAAGAGGAAAAATAATAATAACATACAAAACACAGTGAAATATATAAAAGAAAAACCACCAGATGGTTGGACTCTCTCTCTTGTGTTAATTCCCTCCCTCTTGAATTCTATTTTTCAAAAAAACCCACAACAACGTCCAGTCCAGGTGATCCTATTTCATACTTTTCACGCCATTCTGACTGAAAATTGTGTGCAAAACAAGCACAAGGGAGAATTTTTAGTTTGTTTTCACATTAATTCCCACATTGTAGTGAATCTCTCTTAAGTTTCCATACGATATTTCTGCAAGAATCCACTCAAAACTACTTTTTCGTCATCTTTTCCAATCATAACCTCAAAAATATCACTATGAGATCTTCAAGAACCCCGTTTTGAAGCCTTCTAGATCACAAAATCATATGTTATAATTTGCAAATGAAGTTAAAATGACTAATTCAGAGTCAAAATTGTCACGAAAGTTTTCTAAATAACCATTTCCAACATCTAAATGACTCTTTTTGAGGTTATGTTAAAGTTCAATACAATTTGCTGTGTTTCTTGGCATCAAAGGTTCAGAATAGGAATGTTTATTACATGCAAATACTTAATTCTGCCAATTACTGGCGATCTTTTAGGCTTTGAGCATCAGAATTGCTGTGTTTAATTCCTAACATAACCTAGAAAACGATATATTGTGATTGTTTCTACACCTTCACTTCAAAAATCAACAAAAATCTAAAGAATCAGAATAATTTGTCAGTAAAAGAAGGATTCATGAAAGAAATAATGCTGTACACCACTTCTGACTTATTATCTTCCCCTCGAAAAAGCATCTAGATTGACACAATCTGTACAAAAAGTCCCATAGTGTATATTTCTGACCACAAAACCTCTATTCTTCTTCCTCATGACTCTCGCTGCCCTTGCTGTTGAACCATCACAAAGTGGTGAAGTCAACAGTGTTAGAAATATGGTTAAAGCATAGAAGGAAAATGAGATGAAGTGAAAAATGATTTTAATCAATGCCAATGCGGTGCAAATGCCGCTCTTTTGAGCGCTCCAAAATGGAAATTATACTTGCCGAACAGATGCAAAAATGAGCTCAGATCTCTCTCTCTCTCCCTCTCTCTTTCGCACTCATTTCCCACAAAAGTTCTGTCATACAAGAACCAGAATTATGTTGGCTTCTGGCTTCGCCACCATCTGCACTTGGCAACATCTCCAGCAGAGACAATTGAGGCAAAAGAGGAATATATAAAGCAATGGCTGAAGAGATGAAACAGCAGAGATTCTGAGGAGATCTCTCGATGAATCCCGTTAGAACTTTGGCTTCATTTCACTCTTGGAAGAGAGAGAATCCGTGCGCCAAAGCAAAAGCCCAAAAAGAGAGAGGAAGAGAGAAGCGAGAAGAAGAAGAAAGTCTCGAGATGGGCGCGCACCGTTGAAGGAGTTGAAAGAAGACAATTTTGCCAATATATCTATCTATATATATGTGCATGAAAGCAATCTATTGAGCTGCTCATAGTCAAGTTCTTCTCTTTTTTTCTCCTTCTCCTTCTTCTCTCCTCTTTTCACGTTCATACAGATAAATTTCTCAACACAAAAACCAATCTTTCAAGCAGGTTTTATTCCTCTCTTATATGTGTCTCCACACGCCACCATCCCATCTTCCTCCCCTTTTGCCTCTTTTGCCCCCTCAACCAACCGACAAACAATATTTTCTATAACCATTTGAATTGCAAAAAATCGCGCCAATACAAAGCACTCCCCGATACAAGTTCTCTCCACTCGCCCAGGGAATCATCATCAGCATTGGCATGAAGGAGAGTTAAGTGAATTAGAAAGGTAACATTGAGCGATTGAGCAAACACAAGAAATGCCGCCAATAAAATCCCATCAGAGTGTCCTCTTCGCTGCCCACAAATGGCCAGAGAGAGAAAGCATTCTTAACCCCTTCGTCGTCAATCTCACATTAGATTTCCATTCACAACACACAAATGGAATTGCCACAAGGCTTTTAGTGTTGTCTCAGGGATTACACGACTGACAATTCAAGTGGAAAAATGCAACTGTGAAGCACACTTCAGTTCGACCAGGAAAAGAACATGGATTTAATGAGGATGCTGTGAATCTTCCTAGCCAATAACATTTGGAAACTGATTCAAGAGTCTCTTTATATAATCAAAGTACTTAAATTGTCCAAAGCATTTTAGGCAATATCAAAGGATATCCAAGAAGAAGAACCTAGAATAGGAATCAATATTAAACTTTTTCCTCCTTCTGCCAATTGGAACACATTTGTCCCATTAATTTCCCTGCCAATAAGAACTCAAAAAATAGCTTAAAAATTTATTACTGCTTCAGGGAAACTTCTTGCAAACTTCCAAAGACTGAATAGGAACTTCACAAAGTTGCAAACTATAAAAAGACCCGCACAATTTCCTGTCCAGCACAGTTTCTGTTTGTCTTTTTCCAACAGAAATTTCCGCAATAAAACCATTGTCAATTTGTTGCTCATCCGCTAAGAAACTCTTCCCAGAGCATTTCAGTCCCAACACGAGACGACTTTGCCCTAAATTAGCCCCAAAGTGTTTCAAGATCTTGTCCGATAAGATAAATCCTCACAGATAAGACGACCAGAAAATCTCCCGAGATGATGCAAATCTGGGAAATTCCCAGTCATCATCATCATTTTCTGTGTCACTCCACGCAGCGTCCGGAAGTCTTTTATCCGGGAAAAGGAACGCGAAGGGAAGAGAAAAGCAGGGATAAATCGATCTGAGACGCCATTGAAGGTGAATTCCACAGAATATCACCCCTATTTTTGCACTCACGGGCGTCTCAAGGGGCGCCCCAGACACTTATGTAAATTCACCGGCAAGGATTTCTCACTGGGGGAAGGTCTATTGCGAAATTTCTGCCATTTCTCTACCCCTTTCTGCGCCATGACTCACGCCCTCCCATTCCAACGATCGCACACGCCGTCTCGGCCAGAGGGTGGATTTTCCCGGCCGGAAAATCACTGCCTCCGCCGAAAACTGCAACTCATCTTCGCCTCTGTCGCTGGACACATATCAAGTGTGGCCCCAAGGAGTGGCCATAATGGCTAATTTGCAATTTTCCCATCATATTCCCATTCGCAAAAAAACTGCACCTTTACTGCAATGTCGCTGAGACTCAGCGACGAATCGCTCACTTTTCACACACCCCATTCGAGCCCACGAGTGCGAGCGAGAGGGAAGACGCCAATCAGGGAGACAAAGGCGGATATTTCGCAAGATTTCACTTTCTGCACCCACTTGAGCCCCGGAAAATCACTCCGGGCGCATTTCCCACTTGCCAATTGAGGCATTTTAAGCACAATTCTCACCAGACACCTCACTCCACTCGCCAGTCGCCGAACCGGCATTCCGTCCATGCCGCTGCCGGCATTTCAGCCCCCGGAAAAGCGCATAAATACAGGAGAAAATGAGCTGTACTCACGTTCAGCGGGAAGATGATGTGCCACCACAGCGATGAAGTGTGGATTTATGAGGAAAAATTCACTAATTTGTGCTAAAGAGGTGCAATTCGGCGGAATACGTTTCAACGCACAATTGAACTGCTTGAGGGAAAAAAGCCAACTGAAAAGTGTGCGAAAGTGGGGGAAAAGACGCTTCCGATGTGTCAAGACTTCCAACCGTCAGCGGTTGGGAAGTTGCTATAAAACTTCTGAGAGTGTGTCTGACGACTAATCCACAGACATGTCTATAGTCATGAAAATAAAGAAATTAATCGTAATTTCACCATGATCTTGACTCTGAATATTCACAAATAATTGTATTTCTTATTGTTGAGAGATTGATCTTTCTAAAAATTCGTGTATTTTCCAATCATTTGATGATTGAGACACTTTCTGTTGACTTTCAAATTCCATTCCCGATTCAGAGCACTGCTTTTCCGCTCGAAGATTTGCGTGCCATAATTTGTGGTGAAGATGTTTGGTTAGAAATGGGAGCCGTTCGGGAGTTTCTGGAATCTCTGAAGAGCCCACATTTGGTGGTGAAAGTGCAGGAATTCTTCGGGATAGTGTACAAGGACGAGCCACAGACTCCCGCGTCGTCGAATGGCGTGACGAAGAGCCCGCGCAGGCGACGCACGGCGGAAAAATCGACGGACAAGGAGACGGCCAGGAGTCACGAGAGCAAGGACGATGACAGCAGCGCTGCCGAGGAGGAGCTCCGGTGCCGCATCACCAACAGATTCTGGTACTACCTGTTCGTCGTGGGCACAGAGCTGGGCGACGAGATCTTCTACGCCTCCTTCATCCCGTTCTGGTTCTGGAACATCGACGGCGCCGTGGGGCGACGGATGGTGATGGTGTGGGCGCTGGTGATGTACGTGGGCCAGGGTCTCAAGGACGTGATCAGGTGCCCGCGGCCGGGACACCCGGTGCAGAAGCTGCAGACCAAGTGGGCGCTGGAGTACGGCCTGCCATCCACGCACGCCATGGTGTCCGTGGCGATTCCCTTCTCGGTGCTGATCTACACGCTGGACAGATACCAGTACTCCGCCTGTGCCGGCATCGCCGTGGCGCTGGTCTGGAGCAGTGTCATCTGCCTGAGCCGCATCTACCTCGGCATGCACAGTGTGCTGGTCAGTAACCCTCCGGCAGCCGATAAGAGAGCGTCCGGAAGGCAGATTTATTGCCCTTCAGCGCCTCAATAGGCGATAAGCTGCCGATATGCGGCGAATAATTCGTCTTATCACTGCGATACGTGGCTATCGGATTACCCGGAAAGCTCTCTTATCAGAGAATTTGAGTTTAAATTCCATTGATAGACAAATTGGAGAGAAATTAAGATAATTTCGCCATTTATCAACACATAAAGCAGGATTTTTTCGCCTTTGAAGACTCGATTTAAGACTTTCCCGACCATAAGAATTATTTCAAATCTCATTCATTCCCTTAAAGAAGCTTTTTCATGGTTGAAAAATGATTAAAACAGAATTTTTAAACTAAATTCCAAGCTAAATTTAAGTTCTTTTCTATCTCTTAAATGATTTACGTCCATTAATGCCTCTTTTATTCCGTAATCAGCTTGATTTTATGGCGTAAATATTAAATTAATGTCTTATTTGACTCAAAAAGGAAATTATGTAAAGTCGTTAAGATATTTTCGTGCTTTTTCATGTTCAAAAAGACTTGAAATTACTTGAATTAATGCCACCAAATACCGGAAAAGAGTCAAATTCCACTGAGATTCTGTGTCTGTTGCAGGACATCGCCGCCGGGCTGTTCTTCACGGGCATTCTGCTCTTCCCGCTGATTCCACTGGTGGACTGGGCGGACCAGCACATCCTGTCGCAGCGCTTCTCGCCGGCTCTGCTCACCGTCGTGTCCATCCTCCTGATCGCAGTCTATCCCAGCGCCGATCGCTGGACTCCCACGCGCGGCGACACCACGCTGTGCTTGGCCGTGTGCGTGGGAATCCACGTGGGCGCGTGGATCAACTACCAGGCTGGCGACATGAAGGTGCCCGCCGCGGCGCCGCCCTATCCCGTCATCTGGCCGTCGCACGGCCTCCTCGGCCAGATCCTGCTGCGCACCGTGCTCGGTCTGTGCGCCATCGTGGCCACCAGAGCCATCGCCAAGTCCGTCTCCTACGCCTTCATCTGCGCCGTGCTCGGGAAGTCACGCGACCAGATCCGCCACAGCGCCGACACGCTGGAGAATCGCACGAAGATCTTCGTGGATCTATTCTACAAGTACTTCACGTACTTCTGGATCGGCTTCAACACGCAATATCTGCTGCCTAACTTCTTCAAGCTGCTCGGCATCGGCCGGCCGGACTTCTACACGGAAATCTGAGCCAACGAAATCATTCCTGAAGTCAATCAAAAGTGCACAAGAATCTTCCAGAGAGAGAAATAGAGTTGTTCATTGGATCCAATTTTAGAAAGTCATTCCGTCCGAGTCAGGATTTGCCATAATTTCTCTCTTTCGCATCGCAGTCAAAAGATCCTTTTGTTTTTGCTAAGAAAATCATCAACATTTCATGGAACAACTCTGTTCAACGCTGAATCGCTTAACAGCCAAAAACCAATACACACAATTTATCTCTAGTCATATATTGAAGATGCTCTGCGAACGCCAGTGAAGCCATGAAAAGTCATCACACGAGAAGCAATCGAATTGCATTACACTTTATTGCCTTAACTGTTTTCTTTTCTTCTTTTCTCCTCCTTCAAACTTCCATTAGAATATTTCCAGTAACAAAGTAAAATAGTTGTTCTTTTATCTCATTTTTTTTCCTACACATTTTCTCTCTCAAATATTATCATTATTAATATTCTTATTAAATATATTATAGCTGTTTAAGTATAATGAGGCACTTTTTGTAAACTATTTTTTTTTTCATATAAATAAAACTTGTTGAACAATTCTTGATTTTTTCCCCTCACGGTCAACCCTTGGCGAATTTGGGGTTGAGCGCGCCAAGAATCACCCTTTGAACATATATATTTATTGCAAAGAACAACAGAGAAAAAGAGAATCAAAAGAAAAACATGTGATTTGTGTTTCCTATCAGAGACACAAAATTGGCAGTTTATGAGATTTAGGAAAATTTGTAATGTTTTCTTGGGAAAGAGTATATATAATTAATGTTATTTAATAAATGTAAATTGTTTCATTTTGGCAATAAATGAAGAGCGCATTTACATCGAAAAAAAATCTCTTTCTTTGACAAAAATTACACTAAAAGTGTCTTCACAGGACAAGAAGAAAAAAAACCTTAAGTAAATTTGTTCACTTCATCAATCACAATCAATTTTCATTAAGTGCACAAAAAACGCTCGTCCTCAAAAAAAAACCATGAAAGAGAAATTCATTTGTATATATATATAGAAATTAAGTAAATTTTCACCTGAATTTACGTTAAGCTTTCTCTCCTTACACTAAATTGGCATCCTTGGCCATACTGTAGAAGGCAGATTTTCTATCCTGCAGCAATTCACTGGGCGAGGAGAATTCAGTTATGTGTCCGCGATCCAGCACAATCACTTTGTCCGAATCCATGATGGTGTTGAGACGATGAGCAATGGTCAGGACTGTGCAGTCCTTGAACTCCGTGCGGATTGTGCGCTGCAAAGACCCGAGAATTCATGTTAGCAAAAGCAGGAGAAGGAAATCACTTTGATAAAAAATACCTGAATAAGATCATCGGTCTCCAGATCAACAGCCGCTGTCGCTTCATCGAGAACCAGCACTTTAGTCTTCCTCAGCAGCGCCCTGGCCAGACACACGAGTTGTCTCTGTCCCACGGACAAGTTCTCACCGCCCTCGGACACTTCGTGATTCAGCCCAGCCGTCAATCCCTTCACGAACGCCCGCAAGTGTGCGTGTTCCAGCGCACGCCACACTTCGTCATCCGTGTGACTGTTGAAGGGATCCAAGTTCATCCTGAGCGATCCCGAGAACAGCACCGGATCCTGCGGAATGATCGTCAATCTCGATCGAAGCGTGTGCAATCCCAGCTTCGAAATGTCCTGTCCGTCAATCAAAATACTCCCGCCGGCGGATTCAATGATGCGGAACAGAGAGAGAGTCAAGCTTGACTTTCCAGCTCCAGTTCTGCCCACAATTCCCACCTTCTGTCCGCCATCCACGACAAACGTAATTCCCCTCAGCACCAACTCCAGACCTTCTCTGTAGCGCACTTGGAAGTCCCTGAACTCCACTGTGCCCACTTCCGGCCAATTCTTCGGCACTGTGGCATTGGGCAACTCCCAGGGCGCCTCCTGCTTCGTCTCCGCATACTCCTTGATCCTCTCCACCGCCACAATGTTCGTCTCCACATCTGACGTCATGCGCACGAGCCAATTGAGCGTCTGCGTGATCTGCAGCGCATAAGACACCGACAATCCCACCGAACCCTCATCCGTGCTGTCTCTTCCCAACACAGCAAACATCGCGGCGAACAGGATGATGAGATTTCCCACCATTTCCAACCTCACGGCCAGCCAGCGATTGGCAATGATGCTGGGAAAGTAGCAGACTTGATTGAAGTCCACTTTGTCCTCAGATTCGCCAATGAAACTGCATAAGAAGAATAAAATGATGAAGATTAGCTGGATTTTAACATAAAACCATCTTCAACACACTCACCGATCTTGCACTCCGTAAGCTCTTATCGTCTGAGCGCCTGTAATACTCTCACCAAAGTGAGAATAGATTGGTGATCTCGAGACAGATTCAAGTCTCTTCAATTGCCTAGAGAGAAAAGAGTGTTAAGTTAGCTCAGCAAGGCTAAAAAGCCTTTCAAGCCAAAGGCTAAAAGAATGTCTTTCACAGTTAGTCTTGAGTTCAGAATCTTCAGTTCAAGTCAAGAAATTATTTAAACATTGAAAACCGAGAGAATACATACAATTTTAGGTGTTAAACTTGTTATAAACGATTAAATTGTAAATTAAAGGTTCCGTTTTTAGGTCGAATTTAGCACAATTCTTCTTGACGAACTGTGATAGTCAATTTTAGCCCTTTTTTTTGAAACTCAAATGCTAAACCAGACCTAGATGTCGCCACATAGAATCTCTGCACGAAGTAATAGAGCAGTCCAATTGGGATGATAACGGCCACGAAGAGCGGCGTCGAAATGCTGATAACAACCAATGTTGCCAAAACCTAAACATTACAATTTGAATTCAAAAGTGGCCGGAGAAGAAAAGATGAAATACATTAGAATATTGCCTGAATATATTTAAAAAAAAAATTCATTTTAAAACAAAAATATAAAAATAGCATCACAAACAAATAAAAAAAAGAAAAAAATACTATTTATAAACACATCAAGGAAGATCTCAATACACATATAAAAAGGAAATACTTGATTTACATTCTCTCTCCAATTTTCTTTTGAAAAAACAGTCAATAAATTTCTTTGAAAAATGACAATGGCTACAAAAATCTTACTTTTTTCACTAAAACTTTTGCAAACTCCTTATAAAAATTTATTTCAACTACTTTTTTTTGATGGGAACACAATAACAAAAAATCAAGATCATATATTTGCAGTTCATCATAAAATGGCTAAAAAGATCTATGAAAAAAAAGGTACCTCAATGGCACAAACAATCCAATCGAGCAACAGTTCCGGCAGTTTCGTGTCAAGTATATCAATATCTTTGCCAAATCGCGACAAAATCCGCCCCACGGGAGTCGTTTCGAAAAATCCCATCGGCAGACGGAGGGAATTTTGCAAGAAATAATTGTGCACTTTAACAGCAGCACGCCAACAAGCCAGAAGAAGCGTCACATCGAATGCCACTCGGGCTAAAGCTGATAGGTTTTTGTGGCCATAAACGAAAACAAACGGATTAACAACACTTGGAGTGTGGGTGTATCTATTGGATCATGAATCCCGGATAGGATTGTTTTGTATATTGTGTTCCTTCTTCTCTCAATATTGTTAGTGGTTAAATTAACTTGACAGTGAGTGTATATTTTTTTTAGGCAAAACAAGACATTCAAAACCAGAAAAATAATAAACAAACAGTGTACAAAAGTGCTCAATAAATCGTGTTAGTATCAAATTGGTCTTTTTTCTGCCATCAGACTGTTTTTTACCTCAAAAACTACATACAAAATTCCATCGATTAAATAGTAGAGCTCTTGATCGATTATTTCAACATCTTGGGAAAATCTTGACAAAATCCGGCCAATTGGTGTTGTATCGAAGAAACTCGTGGGCAAATGCATTACATTGTTCAAGAGACTCTTATGAATTGCCACAGCCGCCATCAGACCGCCGAGAGCCGGCGCAAGATCAACAAAATACGAGACAGCCGCTAAAATTCACACGCAAAATGTGCATCTTTTCCACTCTTTACAGAGGTTTCTTACAAGTTTGTGCAGAAAATCGTGTGTCAAGTGAGTGTGTTATGTTAATCAAACGAATTTTTAATCACAAGCAAAATAGAGAAAATTTTTGTTAATTTATATTGTCAAAACATGCACAATTTCTTGCCAATAAGATTACTAAAATAATCCATAAATCAATCGTGATCAATTGTGAAAAATTGTCCCAAAGAAAAACCACACAAATAGCCAAACACACAATGGAAAACGATTTAAAGATGTCAACAAATAAGATTTCAAAAAAAAAAGTCTTAATGAGCAATAAACCGAACAAACTTCCCATAAATTTCACTCCAATTATCCTATAATCCATTGTGTGTCTATCATAATCGTAAGTTTTCGATTTTGCAACCACTTTTCACAACAGAACCGATTGATTTCTCTGTGCAAATGAGATATCCTCCTTGGGGAAAACCCTCGCTAACCAGAAAACCACCCCCGGATAAACCTTCTTAGGAAGGACAAGACTTACTGCCCTGCAAGAGAGAATTTAAGTGATTCCATTTTTTGGATTAATAATACCTCAAAGGAGAAATAGTACACAGCACTAATATTCCTCGGCAAAATGCTATCAAGTGTGTCAATGTCTTTAGAAAAGCGTGACAATATTCGACCACTTGGCGTTGTGTCAAAGTAGGAAAGAGGAGCTCTCATTGTGCCCAACAACAGGACTTTATGGAGTCTCTTGGCGGCAAAAAGGGTCCCCATGAGTGGCGTGAAATCCGTGAAGAAGGACATTATAGCTAAAAATAGGGATAAACAGCACTAATCATAAAAGCATAATTAAGAGTGTGTCTTTTCGGCGCGATTTCATCCTGACACGCACATTTTGATCCTCACAAAAGAAAGACAAAAAAATAAAATAAATTGTGTTAATTCGCCAGCACAAGAAACATGCAAATAAGAGTGCGATTAATAAACAATTGATTGTTAAATTCTCTTTTTTTCAGTGTGTATCAATTATTACTCTCTGAATCTTCTCTAACTCTTTTTTTAATTGCTGTACCTCAAAGAGACAGTAAAGCAGCGTACTGATAATGAGTGGCAAGACTGAATCAACGGATTCGACATCTTTGGAAAAGCGCGCCAATATTCTACCACTGGGAGTTGTGTCGAAAAACTCAAGCGGACACCGCAAAATGGCCCACAGCATGTTCCCATGGAGCCTCACGGCGGCCGCCAGAGCTCCCAAAATCGGCAGGAGATCCGTGAAAAAGGAAAATATCCCTAGACAGAAGAATGGCTGTTTTAGATAAGAGATCAACAATTAATGCAGCAAAAAGAATATTTTAAAGGTTCAGAATGCCCCAAATGAAACGACAATGTAACATGCACATTTTTTCTTTTTTTTCAAATGTAGGATAAATCGAATTAAAAAATAAAAATGATATGGAAAAGTAGCGATTTACAAAATGGAGAGAAAACTTCAATCATGATCTTGAGGTATATTTACAAATCACTCAGAGCCAACATTCACCGACAGAGAAAGTTGAAGCTAATCAGCATTTTTTCAGCTCTAAAGCGACTTGCTGTAATTTCTTTAATTTAGCAAATAATCTTAAAGACAGATTAAGCTCAATGTTAATGAAGGAAAAGTCACTAGCGATTTCAGACCATTATTTAATTATTTTCTCCACATATTGCCGCCAGAGGGCAGCAGTTTAAACTCTTAAAGCATGTAGAAGTTCCAATTGTATTTCCCAGAGACAAATTTCATCCAGAATAATAATGGTTTAGAGATTATTTAAAGGCGTTAAAATTGCAATATGAAAAAACGGCAATTATTGTAATTATTTTGTATTTTTACTTGAAAAGTAATGATTTTTTGAAATTTTTGAATTTCTTTTGACAAGTGACTTTCCCTTCGATGTGAATTAAATCCTGTGGAATTTCTTTTGAATGTTTTATACTTGACTAATCATAAAATTTTACATAATTTTGTACATGATTTTCATTTTCTTGTTAGTAAATTTTCGTTTAATATTCAGTGTTGATGATGACAAGAGTAAATTTTGACAACATTTAACATCTAAAACTAAAGAAAAACCTTAAATTAAAAGCATTAAAAAACAATTCAAATTATTTGTACTGTTTATCTGTTTGATTTAAGGCTTGACTTTAGATTACCCCAACAAATTTCAACACGAATCTAACGCCAAAATAGAGGAAAAACACAATAAAATCCAGCAACACTGAATGAAACTCTTTGATTTCATAAAGAAGCGTCAAATTCAATTACCTCAAAGAAACAATAAATTGTGTCTGAAAGTTCACGTGGCAAATTAGAATCGAGCACATCGATATCTTTAGAGAAACGTGAGAGAATTCTACCCGACGGTGTCACGTCAAAGAAGAGGACAGGACATCTCATTACGTTGTTCAGGAGGGAATTGTGGAGGATAATTGACGCCCTGAGGGATCCCAAGAGTGGCGCGAGATCAGTGAAGAAGGAGGCAAAGCCTGTAAAACATCCAGATTAAACACCAAAAATCGATTCCCGTGATTTTTACACGACATTTTAGAGATTCGAATGAGCTTTGAAATGAATTGATTTGTAAGGTGAAAATTTCTTTATGGTTTTTTTTCATGTACAAATTTCATGCAATAATCATTAGTTTACAAAATGGAATATTTTTGAATTTCATGACAAGAGATTATTAATCAAAAAAAGCACACATTATATACGGCTATGTTTAAAAAAAAAAGCTTCGTGCCAAATTATATATATTCAAAAAGCTCAAGCACTAAATAATGTTTGTTAAAAACTACTTCTCTGCATCTTTTCTTCATCGTCATGTTTCTTTCGCGCATCGTCAGCGGAAAGGATATTTGGGGAATCTTTTTTTTTGTATTCAATTACCCGAAAGAAATTGATAAGCCAGCTTCTTAAATTATACGGCAGAGTCATATCCATGGTGTTCACGTCACTTGAGAATCTTGCCAAAATCCTCCCCAGTGGCGTCGTATCGAAAAATTTACTTGGCAATCTCAGGATATTGCTTAAAAGTGCCTCGTGCATTAGAATTGTCGCATTGAGGGTGCCCAGAATAATGCTCAGGACACCGAAATAGAAGGCAATGGCTGCAATTATTCATAGTATTGTGTCAGTTTTCTGTGTGTTTAACTCTTCCTTTTTTTATTTGCTACAAACTAAATGCCGATTATTATTATTAGTGGTGGTTTTGTGTAGTATTTTTTTTCGTTTCCAACATAGAAATTAAGTATATAATTTCAATTTGAAAATAAATAAATGTGTAAATGCAAAATGTCAGTGGGGGGAGAATTAATTTGACTAAACATAAAAACCTAGCATCACAAATTCCTAGCTTTCATACTTCTTTCTAAAACAAATAATAAAACGTTTAACACAGCTTCGAAAGAATAAACATTAGTGATTATTAACAACTAAATCAACCATTCACAAGTGCAGTCTTTTGTAGCCATTGTCATACAAGTTTGGCTCACTTTTATGCATCATTGCAATTTTCATTTAGAAGAACCTGCATTTCTTATTATTGTCTTCTTCTTTACTCACTCCGTCAAAGCCATCGAAAAGTGTGCGGCGCAACATAATTAAGTGTAAAAACATATAAAATAAGGAAAGAAAACTTGCCCCAAAGAAGCAAGCAACCCAAGCCCTAAGTGTGGCCGGCAGATCACTGTCCACTTCGGAGACATCCTTGCTGAAGCGATTGAGGATTCGTCCAACGGGCGTCACATCGAAAAACGTCGTCGTCGGCGCCCTCATCACACTTCTCAGCAATTGTGCGTGCATGAGACGAGCGGCACTTAGAGCACCCAAATACAGGGACAACGTAGACAGGAAGACAGTGAACACTGAACAGGATATTTTGGTCAAAAACAATCAATTACACATAAACAGATCACAGAGACAAACTCTTTAGCACTCGCGGACGAGAGACATTTTGGTCGGACGTCAATTAGTAAACAACACGCAGAACAATAAATTACAAAATATAGAATATCTTTATCTTTATCAAACCGACAATCTTATGCTACTTTTCAAATCTCATCTAATAAATCATAATTCTTAAGATAGATTTAGTGAGTAATTCGCATTCTAGCACATCAATTTTTGTGCTCAAGTCCAAGAGATCGCCAGTTATTGGCAGAATTCTGCATTTGCATGCAGTAAACATGGTAAATTGTATTGATCTCCCGAACATAACCTCAAAAATAGTCATTTGGACTATAGAATAAAATTTCTGCATGATTTTGATTCTAAATCAGCATTTTTCAATTCATAGATCTCAAAATCACAGCCAAATGATTTTGTGATCTATTTCAAACTGAGTTTTTTGATGATCTCTTAGTGTTATTTTTGAGGTTATGGTTGGAAAAGATGACCAAAAAAGCGTTTGAAATGGATTCCTGCAAAAATATCGGATGGAAACTTAAGGAAAGATTGTCAGTCCGCAATTCTTTTTCTTGAAACTCTGGCAAATTGCTATGAGATGACATTTAGGTTCAAAATAAGCTTCAGAAGCTTCAAATTTGACATTTACAATTAGATTTCCTGTAAGAAATGACACAAGATACATTTAAAGAAATCACGAGGCGCAAAATCTTCAAAAAAAAAAACATTTTGAGAATTGTAAAATTTGACATCTTATCTTATAAGATATAATCGTAAAGTTGCATAAGATTGTAAATTTCTCTTTTTTCCGACCAAAAAGTCACAATTTGTAGCATTTTGCGACATAAAAGGTAACATATCACACACTCACACACAGAGAAACAAGGATTCCAATCACCAGCAAGGACTAGATTTGCCTAAAAGTCCCAAACCGAGTAAGCTTAATGCTATCTACGCAAAAATACGCTCTTAAACCATACATAATTCAGCGATATTCCACAGATCGGAGGAGTAAATCAAGTATTTTTTTAGGAAGTGAAATTGACGAGATTTTGCCAAAGCAAAGTCTCGTCTCAACAAAAGCCAAAAGATTCCTCCTCTAATTGAACATTTCATTCAATAATCATTCATTTTTAGGTGAGAAATCCTTTTCTTCGAAAGAATAATATTGGCATTTAGAAAGAAAAAGAGAGAGAAACATACGAAGAAAAAATTGTCTTAAAAGTTTGAATTACCGAGAAAAACATAAAGAGCCAAGAACGGATGACCTGAATTGATGATCGCCCAAGAAAGAAAACAGGTGATTAAACTTCGTCTTATGCTTTTCTTTTTGGGAAATATATTTTCCCAAAATTACAAAGAGAGAAAGAGAAAATAAAAAATTTTCCGCTACCTGAGGCAAAATGTTATCAACCACATCCACATCTTTCGAGAAGCGATTCATTATTCGCCCCATCGGTGTCACGTCGAACAATTCCATCGCCCAGCGAAGGACATTTGAGAGCAATAAAATGTGCATGTCACGAGCCGCATAGAGACATCCCAGCGCCATTATAAGCGACGCCAGCAAGTTCGTTAAGGCTAAATACATATGTTTCAATTCATTAAAATTCCATGACTTATTTTACACTCTTACTTCCAAGAAAAGTGTGCATTTGTTAAGTCGAAATTAAAGAAAAACAGTCAATGTTTTTAAATTTGATCAGAGTGTTATGAAATTTATAATGTGTGTTATGAGAAAATAAATTGGAAATTGTCTGCCAATGTAAAAATGAAATGATAGATGAGAAGTCTTGTTGAAAAATACAGTTTTTGGATGAATTTGTTGGTTTAAAAGTCTTTCACTACACAATTCTATAATCTAATCGATCAAATTATGGGAAATTTTCACTTATTTTCTTACAAAACCAATTAAATTTTTAATGATTCGTAATCTTGAGAATGCAATGGAAATATATAAGAATGGAAAATTGTCTTGATATCAAGCAAATTTGCAAGCAACATGCTTAGAAATGAGAAAAATTCACTAAATCTAAGAATATGGGAATATTCAAAGTTATTCTAGCTAAGGTATTCTAAGTCATCTAAGTTAGAGCATAACATAAAATCCGCAGAGGAGAAATTAAGAAGAAAAATAAACTAAGAAATGAAAAAGAAACAATTCACTCATTTTCTCTCACAAATAAACCTAAATAATCATCATCTAAAATCTAAAAGTCATCTAAAATTATCTCAATAATATAATAAATCATTTGTAAAATAGTTTGATGATAATGAATTTGTGTTTTGTGTTGTAATAAATTGTGTGTGTTTGTGTTTGTGTGTAAATATTTGGTGTGTTTTGCAGTTAGACAAATAAGATATTATTATCTGCCTCACTTTTGTGCCGAATGCAAATACATATAAAATGGAATCTTTCAGCTCACCTTGACCTGCACCCAAAGCTCCATAAACTCCCAGATACATGTCTCTGGTTCCTGTATCGTTGCCCGCATTGGGATCCGTCGACCAGCGCGCCAGCCACACATTTGAGCCAATGGAGAAGCCCTGGAACACCATGTTGAGGAAGATTGTCGTGAGCGAGAGAAGCGTTCCGATGCTCCTCAAGTAGTGCTTGTACACTTCCCACTTCACACTGCCCGTCTCCGACTTCTCCTGCTCAATCAACTTCTCCTTCTCCTTCTGATTGCCATCCTTCTTGTCCGGCGTGCGTCGCCTGAGAGCACTCGTGTCGGACGAGGCGTCGGAATTCTTCCTGGACGGCGAATCATGCACAGATCCAGTCTCTGATTGACTCTCACTCCTCGATCGCTGACTAATCGCCCTCTGCAATTTCCCACGCAACTCCTCATCGCCAGCAACACTCGATTCCAACTGTTGCTTCAGCTCATCAAACTTCTCCGACTCCTCAGACGTGTTCTCCTGCAGATGCTGAATCAGGAACTCCGCAAAAGCACCCTTCTTGTTCAGCAACTCTTGATAAGCACCCGCTTCGCTGATCTCACCATCCTTCAGCACATAAATATAATCCACATCCGGCAAATACGTGATGCCGTGCGTCACGAGGAGTCTCGTCTTCTTCGCCAGCATTCCACTCTTTCCCACCACTTGCTCGAAGATGTGCTTGCCCACGTGCGAATCAACAGCACTCAGTGGATCATCCAGGAAGTACACATCAGCATCATTGTACACCGCCCTGGCCAGAGACACTCTCTGCTTCTGTCCACCCGACAAATTGATGCCCTTCTCGCCAATTTCCGTCTGATCACCACCCGGCAGCATCTCAATGTCCGGCTTCAAGGCACATGCTTCAATCACACGCTCATACCGCTTCCTATCCATGTCCTTGCCAAAGATAATATTGTCCTGCAGCGTGGCATTCTGAATCCAAGCCTGTTGCGACACATATGCAATCCTGCCATTCGTCACCACGCGTCCCTGCAACTTCTCCAGCTCACCCAAGTACGCCGACACGAGGGAACTCTTGCCAGAACCCACAGTTCCCACCACAGCCACCACTTTCTCCCTCTCCACGCGCATATTGATGTCACGCAGCACAGTCTCGTCGCCTCCCCACGAAAACTGCCCATTCTCAATCACCAGTGCGGCATCTGGACGACAAGAGAACACAGGAAATTAACCAAAAATCACAGTGCAAGGGAAGAAAACTCACCATCTTTAGGATCTTGCTGAACATTTGTCGGATCCAATTCCTCAGAATTCATAAACTTGTTGATCCTCTTCACGGAAACGCTCGTCTATGAAGCAGAGAGAGAGAGAGAGAAAAGCGGATACAAAAGAGCCAGAAAATCCATGGAAAAAACTCTATCACTGACCGGAAATGTAGGGTGAATCATTACATTTCCAGACAGTGTGTTTATCTCTTATCATTATTCTAACATTGTGCAATTCTACCAGTCAATAATATTGCTTGACATTCAAGGAATTTCATCACATTTAACAAACATTTTTTATTACTATTTTGTGGCTAGAGAAATTCCTTAATTGTCTCACTTGACATCCAAATTCGTGCTGTTAAAATTATCCACTTTGGAAACACTTCACCCATTGCGCTGCATAGCAATGAAATGTGGTGTTTTTTTTTCTGGAGAAAATCATAAAAGTGAGTGTGAAAGAGAGTCTCTTCCTCCTACTTACTTGAACCATATTAGAAATCAGCATAGGAAGCATGGACAGAGGAAAACGTAAAATGTTGAAGAGTGAGAGTGAAACGAAAGCCGTGGATGCGTCCAAAACATTAGCCTCATCTACCAAAACATACGTAGCGAACGTGATTAAAGCCACCTGAAGTTAATTTTTTACACATTATTTTGCATGTTCAGTTTAATTGCTCACACAATTCTCTATCAAAAATAATCATCTAAAGTCACTCTCTATTCTTTCTTTTCCTATATATAAATTCCCACCGCCTTTAATGCCATAGTTTTTTTTCACTCATGTTTTGCAATGATTCTCAAAGTGTGTGTGTGTGCGCAAATTATCGACGGCAATTTGTCACATCCCATCAATAAAAGAAGAGTAGAAAAAGTGAAATGAAGTAAAAAATACACCCAGGAAAATATAATAATAATAATAAATGCAAAGAGAGGTGAAAATAGAGACGCAAAGACATTAATTATTCATGTTATTATGACTAATATAGAGTAAATTTGATCTTGTTTTGTGTACCTCGACCATGTACACGATTAGCATGGGCAAGAGTGCCAATGGCAGGCGAATTATGTCGAACAGCGTCAAACAGACGAACGCTTTGTCCGGCGTCAGGATGTTATCATCTCCGGAATACACGTATGTCGCAAACGTTACTATGGCAACCTAATCAACTCACAGGAATATGAGTAAATCAATCCTCTCAATGTTCCCCAAATCTCTCTCGCTATCAAATTAATAGAAAATGATGTGAAAAAGACAGAAAACATTACCAGAAATGGCGCACAAGACCAGATGAACGACGTTCCAGCATTCAAATACGCTTGCTCCTTCAACACTTGCACTTCCTTCGTGCGAATCTTCAGCACTTGATCCTCAAAACTCGGCTCCCAAGCGTAGAGTTTCAGCACCTAAAATTACATTCGACAAATAAATCAGTTTTCGTATATTTTGAGGCGTCGTTACAACTTTACGACAATAAATGAATTTTGACGCAAATCAGATTCAGAAATTGATTAACTCAATCAAGTAAACCGCGAGTGTGAAAAAAGCCCTTTGTTTTACTCACCTTAATTCCACTCAGCACTTCATTCATCAGCTTCACTCGCTCGTCCTTGTTCTTCATCTGGCGAATCTGCAGCGTCTTCACTTTGTTGGCAATCACACTGTTCACTGGGATCAGGATGATCATCACGGCCAAGCCGGCGAGCACGGACGGCCCGAGGATGTCCCAGAGGAAGTACAGCGCCAGAGCGATTTGCAGCGGCGCCGACCAGATCATGTTGATGTAGGCAGTCAAGTCCATGAATCGCTGCGCATCGACGGCCATCAAGTTGACAATTTCACCCACAGTCGATTCCTTCCTCGCACTGTTGCTCATCACCAGTGCCTTCCTATAGATCGCCGAGATGAGAGCCGTGCGAATCCTGAGGCCCACGAAAAACATCCTGTTGAAGTACTGCGCCAGGAAGAGTGTCTGCATTCCAGCTACAATGAATAGCAGCAGAGCATAGAAGATTCCCTTCCAATCCTCCTCCGGATTCTCATCATTTGACGTTCCCACGAAGTTGATGAGCAGCCGCAGGACCTGCGGACTCACGAACGTCAAAATGTCTTGGATGAACTTCAGCATGGCGCCAAAGAGGAAAGTCGGTCCGAAGGCTTTCACGATGGCTGGCAGGATTGAGGCGTTCTTCTTCGCTTTGGGCTTCGTGAAGTTCACACTAGCGGAATCCTTGGAAAAGGTGGCTTTTGGCGGTGTCGGTGCATTCTTCTCCGCTACCTTGGCCAGCGTCTTGTTCCAGTACTTGGCAAACAGTGGCATCACTTCGCGTGCCGAATCCTCCGGCTTCATATTCCACAGATCGCTATTCTCCAGCGGCTTCCGGAAGCCACGCCACGCCAGCGGATCGAACCAGGCGAAGAACATGCGCGAGAGAAAGCTGGCAGATAATTCCGGGCAAGGTTTCTGCAAACAAGACAGCGCGTTATCAGTAAATCGTCACTGATAAATCACAGCTCTAAATTCACCTCATCCTTATCGTAATTCGTCACTTCTGGCGCCTTATCGGCGAAGCAATTCAGCAGGAACATCTCGCAGGTCATGGCGAAGAAGATCATGAAGCTCACGTACTGATACTGCGCCCAGGGATCCTCAATGCCCAGCGAATTCCGCATGTTGCTGTTCCTCACCTCAGATCGACACTGCGGAATGCTGAAGATCACGAGGAAGAACCAGAAGAGCCACAGCAAACCGGACGTCTGCAGGCCGTGTTTCTTGTTGTAGAACAGCAGAACGGCAGCCAGAACCTGCAACAGAGCCCAGAGAGATGAGGATTGCCGGGAATTCAGGCCAGAGATTCGCACTCACAAATGTGGCTATTTTTATCACTGGCGTGTAGAAGTGAACAGCCTGGATTGCCGCATTCTCCTGACTGACCAGTGCCTTTATCAGATCCACACTGGTGAGGATCACGAGGGCAGCATTCACGGCACACTTGGTGACATTCAGGAAGCCCCACGGAATGTCGCGATTCCGGCTCGAGCGAATGTAGTAGATTTCTATGAGTGAGAACGCCCACAAGAGAGCGCACGGCGCCCAGACGAGCACCGTCTGCTGGAAACATGGAGTGAGGTCCGGATCGTTGGTGTGCCAGGTCAAATTGGCGTCCTGCAGGAGAAGAGGAGTTGGAAAAGAGGGCAGATTGCAGGAGGAAACTTGCAGAATTGAGGTTATGTGCAGCCAAAGAGAGCAAAATTCCCAAATAACCGTGGAAAACTCTAGATAGCACACACAAGTAGTGAATTCTGCACAATTCACGCGTGAATTTGTAGTAATTTCACGGCAAAATAGCAAATAATGTACTCACCCAAAACGGCGAACCACAGAATTCTTCCATCTTTCCTCTCGCTTTCCCAATCGGTTCCCAACCGGTTCACACAGTGCACTTGACCGGAGCTGTCAGAAGCAAAACAAAACAAGGTCGTTTGGTTGTGAAAAATCCACTTTTTCCACTCTGTTCGCAGCTAAAACCACTCAAATCGTGTTGAGAGACGCGCGGCGGAGGATGGACAAGAAGAAGAGTATATTTTTAGAATCAGATTCATCGATTCTCGAGGAGAATTTGCGATTTGTCAAGGTGAGCCCAAATTCTAACCTCACTCTCTCTCTCTCTTCGCCCGTTTTGTGGTTTTCTTCTGACAGAGATTTTCACGCCGCTTTTCCTCTTGATTTGCTTTCAGAACGACTTCGAGGAGGAGATCAACACAATGTTCGGTCAATCAGACGCTAATTTGCCCCCACTCAGCGCACAGCAGTTCAAGATTGTGAAGCCACAGCCAGGTGAGAAGAAGAGACAAACGTGAACTTTTGGCATATCCGGGAGTCACACGCGCCCCGCAGACTCGATCTCTTGCTAATTGACTAATTTGTGACAATCAGAATTATCAACTGGTAATTGATAAGATTGTACTTATCACAGGACTTCTTTGAGCTTCTAATTAACCACTTGATTTGATTATTATTGAGGGCTTTCTCAGGGTGCTGAGTTATTCTTATCCCTCTTATCAGACCGAATTTTGTCTTGTTGGTCTTGTTAGTGTGTATGTCGCGCGGGTCCCCACCTCCTGGACAAGGTGATGACGAGGCATTTTCCGTGTGAGGCAAAACATGCACACAAACGTGGGATGATGATCGATAAAACACAGTGATATTCATAGAAGGAACTGAAGAAACAGTAAAATTGTCTCTGCAGACAATTTGATTAATTGCCCTGTATTACGCTCAACAGTCGCACACAACTATATTTACATAGAAATCAACGAGTCAAGGTAGTTTATCATCGTGGAGATTGAAAATAGATTGAATTCCAGAGGATATTCACAGTTTATCGGGTAGAAATCAATGCATTTTAAGCCTCATTTAGAGCCCAAGAGATTAACTCTAGAGTCTTTTGAGCCATTTGAGCGTTTCCAACCATTGAACAGACGGACAATGTGACGTAATTCAATGGGAATCAATTAATTGTGCCACAAATACGACTGGATGAGAGATAAAAGGTGCCTTATCAGGCGCAAAAACTCCACAAATCGTCACACAGTTCAGCGTGAGAGCCACGCTCGCGGGCGCCAGAAAAAAGCCCTCATCTGTGTGTTGGTTTATTTGATCATCGCGCAAAACACAGTCGAAATGTCGAGAAGAAGAGAGCTTTGGGAAGTTATTCAAATTTCACAATCATGTGCAAGTGGAACATGAGGAGGCAAAAATTGCCTTGCGAGGAGATTTCCCTCCCAAAGTTCGCGCGGTGAAGAGATAAAGAAATGATAGATTGTGGGAAGAGAGAACACTTCCGCGTGTTGAAGAAGAAGATTCTTCTCCAAGATTCTGATGATGCTGAGGGGAAAAAAGTGAGCAAAAAGTCACGGATTTGTGGCTTTTTGGGAACAGGTTTCAAGAATGTTTTTGTGTCTCCTTCACCGCAAATTAACTTCTTCTTCTCTTGAACTACGCTGTGCATCAATCGTGGTGCTCTTCTTCTTCTTCTCATTGAAAAAGCGAGTTTTCAAAAGGAATTTTCATTTTGGGACGAAGTGTAAGAAAGACACGCCGATCGACACGCTTTGTGGACTTTAAGAAGAAACATGATTTTTTATTCATCGGCGTGTGTGTTGAATTAGAATTTGAGAAGAGAAATATGAACAGAAGCGAGCAATAACGTCACTGATTCTTTGGCTTCTTCACACTCTCATTGAGACACTTTATATGTCAATTGATTTGGGTGGCAAAATGCGGGAAATTGATTAATTCTTCGGGTCCAGAGATGCATTCCGGAGTGAAGAAAGTGGATATGAAAACACAAGCAAAGTCACACTTTCTCACCGATTTGTTTTCTTCTCCCCCAAGAAACAAGAGACGACACACGACGAACGGAACGCACAAGAGCAACACAGCAAGAGTTCGCAGTGAAATTTGGAGGAACATCCACACAAATCCGCTGCCCGAGAGTGACTGAAAAGCCAGTCAAGTCAATGTGAATGATATTGTGAAGGTTCCAACTGACTGTGACTCTCCGCGGGCGCGTTTTGGTGCGACGTTGCGTGTGTAAAAGGAAAAATAATATCACACAAACCAACCAATACTAGTGTTGAGAACACATTCAGAGAGTCGCGAACGAGCATGAAAATTTATCATGTTTGCCGGCAAAATCTCGCGACTTTGACATTCGATAATAATTATACACTCTCTTGCGCTACTCTCTTGCCAAAGAATTAACTCTTGTGTGAAGTAATTTTCTGGAGGGTCAAAAACAGCTGCCAAAGACTCAATTGCGCTCAAACCCTTGAAGAAAAAAAAACACAACACTTGGACAGTGTTTGTAATCCCTCATAAATTACCTGGGAAATTAGTGTCTCTCACATTCACGGGCAATCAACGAGTCTCTTGTCTCTCTCTTTCTCTCTCTCTGCACCTGAATTTCTGTCTGTGGTGGTTGGAAAAAGGCGGGGGAATGAATCAGAAATTATGTTGCGAGCAATGGTGAAACAAAAAACAATAAGAATGGAACTGAAATAGACGAATGTGGAAAAAGGGAGAAAAAATAGCATTACATAATTTACATCATGAAATGACCAAGAATAAAAGTGAATCACAAAGAATGGTTAATACGAAGCCTTTCAGTGGAATTTTGGCTCTAATATTGTTGAATTTTCTTGCATTATTAATACAATTTGAAAAAAGATAGACAAAACATTGCTCAAGTATTTGTTTTCTGGTTTAAATATGAGTTATTAAACACCTTAAAATTCCTCCACTTTCACAAATTTGCAAGTAATTTTCCTCTGAAAAAGCCATAAAAGGTGATTTTGCAAATATCACTGCAGTGATTCATGTCTATTTACACATTTACCCACTTTTTGGAGTTGACTTGCGATGAGAATTCAATGGCGCGCATAAAATGGAAAACATGGATTGAAGGGAGTGCGAAAAATAATACTAAGAATGTGTTGAGAATTTGGAGAATTTGTTACAAAAAAATGATTTTTTCCAAGTAAAATTGTTTATTATTCAAAAATTGAAAATTTTCGACAAAATATTGGAATAAATCAAATTATTATTTAAGTATTTGATTATTTTCTCTGCATATGGCCGCCAGAGGGCAGCAAATTTGGCGTGGGGGACACTATTCTTGCATTCTCTCACACTCTGTGACTTCTTGGCGAGATCTTGACCGGGAAAGAAGAAAATTTGAGCTCAAGAATGAAACTTTTTGCGTAAGAAAAACCCTCTTTATCAACTAATCAGCTGATTAAGTTATATTCTAATTCATGTGTTAACAGATTATTTAGAGGCGTTGAAACTCCTCTAAATCTGGGATATATTTGGAACTTCTACATGCATTTAAACTGCTGCCCTCTAGTGGTAATTTGTGGAGAAAATAATCAAAATTTCAATAAAAATCATGAAAAATGATTGAATAATCACAAAATGTGAGTGATTTTTCTCCTTTATTCATAAGTTTAAAATCACACAAGCTAATCAGAATTAATCTGTCGTTTCTTTTCTCTGCTGATAAAAATTCTGTTTATAAAATGGTGTAAAAGCAAATAGAATTTCATCAATATTTATTCAACAATCATGTTTATTTGCTGAAGAACAATTTTCCACGAAGGCGCGCGAATGCAGCACGCCAGCCTTTTAGCCGTGGCCACAATTGGTCTCTTGATGTGCCTCTAAAGCACGAGTTGAATATGATTTGATGTGTCACAGAAGTGAAAAATTAATTTAATAATTACTTCCTGGTTTTTTTTTCATTTGTAGGATTCTGCATAAAGGCGTTCAGGGCGGAAAATGCGGGGAAGTTGTTCATCAACATCTGCCAAACCGAGGATATTCCAGCGCCCAAGGATATCACAGAGGAGGAATTGATGGACATTCTGAATTCCGATGCGCCACACTCGTACAGAATCCCGATGAGCATCGGTGAGCCGAGAGGGACGAAGGATAAGTCAGGGAATGATGCGATGGTGTGTGATATTGCCATCAACAGTGAGTTCTTCGTGAAGGTGGAGAAGCTGAAGCTCTTCCGGGACTTCCTCTCGGCCGTTGTGTTCGAGGCGGTGGACGTGAAGTATGAAATGCCGTGTGAGGACAACAATTGGGTGATTCTGAAGAATAGAAAGTGCGTCGGAACGCTGTCGACGCATCGCATTGAGAACAGAGATGTGAAGATTGCCAAGGATCACCATGCGGTGGGTGATCAGCGTGGAAAACCACTGATTCAGGAGGTTGACGCCGTGACGACGACAAAGGGTGCAAAGCAGATGAGCAATAAGAAGCAACAAGAGGCGGAACACAAGCCGAATCCCACTAAATTGGCAGTTTCGCAGGCGAACACCAAGAAGCCGAGCTACAGAATCATCGTGGAGCCCCGAGAGGGTGATGTGAGGCAAGTGGTGGCGGAATTTCACATGCCAGAGTGCGTGACGGCCAGTGAAATTGCCCTGGATGTTGGCGAGGACAGGATTCTCGTGGAGGCGAGGAAGAGAGGATATCTTATTGAGGGATTTCTCAACTATCAGCTCAATCAGGAGGCTTCCAAGGCTGTCTTTGACACTGGCAGAGGCGTAAGTGTCCACATTGATATCCGGAAAATCCCAATTTGTGGCTAAACACTTGATCTTTTCCAGGTTCTCACCGTCAGCATTCCTGTCCAGCAGTAACGAACAAAGATATTCAAATTCCGAAGCCTTGCAAAGGTCCAACCGATTGATGCCGTTGCTAAGATTCACCAATGAGTCATCTGTCATTCGCGTGATTTTCCCAGAAAGAGTGTAAAATTCCCTGTGATCCTCTTCCTCTTCCTGGGAATCCACCAAACAAATGGAAGTGTTCTTGTTATCATCAGTGAAGTTAATATCCTGAAAACTATGTGGATAAGTTGAAAAGAGAAAGAGAAAAAGCTGTAATTGCTGGAATAAGAAAACAAACACGTGAAATCTTAAGGCCTTGAAGAGAAGAAGAGCGTGAAGTTTCTGGGATTCCGCCCCAAAATGTCCACTTCCTCACCCTCGAGTATGTCGATTCAGGAGTTGGCGTTCCAGAGTGAGTTCTACATTGGTCTGGGTCTGGCGATCTCCTCCAGTGTCTTCATCGGATCGAGTTTTATCATCAAGAAGAAGGCGCTGATCCGGATGACCAGAGTGGGCGCTGTCCGGGCGGGTTCTGGTGGATTTGGCTACCTCAAGGAGTGGATCTGGTGGGCAGGACTAATCTGCAGTGAGTAGAAATTAACACAATCTCTGACCATGAGTCACTTCCAATAAATAGAGAGTCTTTATCTTGGCGCTTCTCGATATTCTCTCGCCTGTGAATTGTTTGCTCTCTGGAGAGATTCACTGACTTTGCGCTCACTTTCCTTGCAGTGGGAGTCGGAGAAGCCGCCAATTTTGCTGCTTATGCCTTCGCTCCGGCCTCCCTGGTCACTCCTCTGGGCGCTCTCAGTGTGATTGTGGCAGCGGTGATGTCCTCGAAGTTCCTCAACGAGAAGCTGAATCTCCTGGGGAAACTCGGGTGTTTTCTGTGCATCATCGGCAGCGTAATCATCGTGATTCACTCACCGAAGGAGGTGGAAGTGGAGGATCTGGACATTCTGCTGGACAAGCTGCAGGACACGAGCTTCCTCATCTACGTACTCGTCATCATATCCGTCTCACTGATGATTGCCGTGTACTTCGGGCCGCGCTTTGGCCACTCCAATGTCATCTTCTACGTCCTCCTCTGCTCGTCCATCGGGAGTCTCACTGTGATGTCCTGCAAGGCGCTGGGATTGTGCATCAGGGACGTGATCACGGGCAGATCGCAGGACTTCTCCACGGCAATGCCTTACATTCTCATCATCACGACGGTGATCTTCATTGGCATCCAGATGAACTATCTCAATCGTGCGCTGGACATCTTCAACACCAGCATCGTCACGCCTGTGTACTACGTGATCTTCACGACGCTCGTGATCGTGGCGTCGGCCATTCTGTTCAAAGAGTGGCGCCACATGTCCGCGTCCGACGTCATTGGCGATCTGTGCGGCTTCTTCGTCGTCATCGTGGCGATTGTCCTGTTGAATGCCTTCAAGGACATGGACGTGGCGCTGAGCGACGTGCGCGGCATCACGCGACCCAAGCGACAACTGCTGGAGCAGGGCAACCAGATGGACGAGATCCTCATTGGCCAGCAGAAGCACACGTACGGCACGAATGAGCTCGAGAGGAGGATTTGACGCGACGCGAGGCTCCACAAGGCTGCACCCAAACTAAGTTAATAATCCATAGACTGCAATGACTTTTGTACCCATCTTAGGCACTTAGGCGAATAAAACCGTACGAAACTACAGCTAAAATCGAGGAATTTACTACAATTCGTCACGAAATAATGTTATCTCTCAAGTACTTAAGAAATGATACGATCATTACTATTTTAGAGTGTTTCCGTGAAACTCGCAAAGAAACAGTTTTATTGGGCCTTCCCCAGAAGGTTTTACACGCGTTTTACAGCCTTCTTTGACGATCATTGGAATAAATGTTGCTCTTCGACAAATTTTAGTGATTTCCTTGGGAAATTAAATATTTTTCAAGCATAAAATGCCCAAAAAGGGATAAATTTTATTGTTCTATTGATGAATTGCAATCTTCCGCCCAATTTCTTCATTCACCGCTCGCGAATGGCTTGAATTTGGTGGATTTATTGCAAAAAGTGCGCAATTGTGGCGGAGCACATAAATCAGGAATATCGCGACAAGGGAAGCCAAATTGCGGAAGAAGTCGTTGAGATTGTCGGCGATCGGCGGCCAAGATGATGGATGAGGGAGAGAGAGAGACACACCCAACGACCAGGTGATCCTCTCTGTGGCTGAGCGTGTGTGAATTGAGGGAATTGAGCCACTTGAGTGGCTCAAGATTGGGATCTGTGGCGGTGAAGAAGACACAGAGAACTTCTATGGGGATGATAAGGCAATGACCAATATTCCTCAGCCTATCTTTAGAGCGGATATCGCGTAATCTCGCTGATCTCTCTCGCCTGGAGATGACTGTGTATATAAAGCCAGGTCGCCTGATCATCCCTTCAGTGCTTCAGTGAACTCTCAGCTCGAAAGATGAAGCCCGTTCTGGTGTTTGTGCTCTTCCTCGCGGCCGCTGCGGCCATCACGCTGCCCAAGAAAGGTGAGTGTCCCGCGGAATATGCAATGGGAGGAATGGTGGTTGTAAATCATCCCCATCTGCAGATAATGACTTCTCCAGTCGCGTCACGGGCGGCCAGAGCGCCATTCCCTACGCCCATCCTTTCGTCATTGCCGTGGAATTGGCCCTCACGGAGGTGCACAAGCAGCAATTCTGCGCCGGCACGCTCATCCACACCAACTGGGTGCTCTCCGCCGCCTCCTGCTTCGACGATCTGCCCATCATCGGCAGGCTCGAGGTGTGCTCCGGCCTGTATGAGCTCACCAATCGCACCTTCTCGCAGCACCGCGAAGTGGCCTCCATCTCGATGCATCCCGACTACCGCGGCGGCGTGAGCCCCAACGACATCGCCATGCTGAACGTGGAAGAGCCCTTCGAGATCGACCTGTACACGCAGCCCATCCGCCTGCCGCAGCCCAACACCATCCACTACGGCTACGTGACACTGTTCGGCTGGGGCGACACCTCCACCACCGACACGCCCAACTTCCCCGAGAACCTGCAGGCCGTCGTGATGCCCATCCTCAGCTACGTGGAGTGCTACCAGCACCTGCGCGGCAGGACGCCCCTCGAGGTCACCAACATGTGCACCGGCCCACTCCTGGGCGGCATCTCGCACTGCACCGGCGACGCCGGCGGCCCGCTCACGCAGCAGAACGAGGTCGGCGAGTACGAGATCGTGGGCATCAGCAGCTGGGGCTTCACGCCCTGCGGCGCCTTCGGCGCTCCCTCCATCTACACGTGAGTTCCCCCACAATCCCCCCCTGGAGACTCAATCTCACCCTTTTCTCTCTTCCCCACAGCCGCGTCTCCGCCTTCAACGCCTGGATCCTCAACCAGATGACGTAAGAAGCGCAGGACATCGAGTGACTTGAGAGAAATTATGGAATAATGTGAGAGAAATAAAATAAAACCACAATTTATATGTTTTGTAGTATAAGATCCGAAGCAGTAATTGAGTCTTTTCATTGATCGGGCTGTCCTCAAGGGGGAGATAATGATGGTCACAAGTGATGTACTGCTCATAGGGAGTTAGAGGAAATAGACAATTTTTCGGTCAAAATTAATCTTCTAGAGGTTTACAACGGAAAAAGCCAAGAAGATCTTGCTTCTTGTTGACATTATGATGTTTCTTGAGGTGTATGTGAAGTGCTTCAATGATACACTATGCTCACGTTGTCACTTTACGTTGTGATAGAGTGGAAAGGAAGTTTATTGGCCTTTTATGCTGTAAACTTCTTAGGAAGTGTTGAAGTATTTAACGCATTTTGCTTTCACGAACTTTTTTCCCTTCTTTCTTAGCAAATTGACGCATTTTTCACATATTTTATTGCATTAATTTGCCGCTCTTCTGGATGTTTGAAATTAATTGAGAAAGTGGTGTACTTTATCTCCTCCTTTGGAGTGCTCTGCAATCCCAAACTCTGGCCTTTTATCGCGCCCAAGTACAAGATGAAGGTCTTCGATACACCATGTTTTCACTTTAATTAAATTTGATCAGATTCTCTGGCTGCCTTTATAAGGAGTTCCGGCGAACTCACGAGAGTTCACTCGAAATGTGGCAAGTGTTGATTCTCTGTGTCTTCATCGCGCGCGCGGCAGCGGCAGCTCTGCCGGTGCAAAGGGTGGTCGGCGGCGGCGAGGCCATTCCCCACATGGCGCCCTACGTGGTCTCCCTGCAAGTGCAGAGCTCCGCCACTGCGCTGCACTTCTGCGGCGGCGTCATTGTGTCGCCCAATTGGATCCTTACGGCGGCGCACTGTATCACAGAGTCGCCGCACACGGGCACAATCCTGGCCGTGGCCGGGAAGCACAATCTGGAGCAGCGCGAGGAGGGCGAGCAGACGCGAAGGGTGGTGCGAACGGTGACACATCAGCTCTTCACCGGCGGCATTGCGCCATTCGATCTGGCCATGCTGCACCTGGAATATCCCCTGCAACTCTCCGCCACGGTCAGTGTGGCGCAGCTGCCGGCGCCAGGAGAAGTCTTCCGCGGCGACGCCGAGATCTTCGGCTGGGGCAGCACAGCCAGTGACTTGTCCTCCAGCTTTCCCGCCAAACTGCAGCGCGCCACGCTGCCGCTGCTGGCCTGGGACGAGTGCCAGGCCATCATGGGCGGTCCGGACGCCACGCCGCTGCACAGCACCAACATCTGCACAGGACCACTCGATGGCGGCCTGTCGGCGTGTCACGGCGACTCGGGAAGCGCCCTCGTGCACATCGACCACTCCAGCGGCGCACACACGCTGATGGGCATCGTCTCCTGGGGCTTCTTCCCCTGCGGCGCCCCAAGGAGCCCCTCCATCTACAGCGACGTGGCGCAGTTCATCGACTGGATCCACAGAGTGGAGCTGATCCAGTGATCATCGCAATAAATTACGGAGAAATACACATATTTTTGTTGAGATCTTCCGCAGAGACCAATATATCGTCAGATAGCGCGGATCAACTCCACAAATTGCTTTATGGCCCTCACAGAAGTTTCTCTTCCTTGTGAAGTTTGCGCCTCAGCTGCTGAAGATCACAGTGAATTGCGCGAATTGCCTCAGGCGCCTTATCACAGGTTTGTTCTGTCGTTGGACTCTCTAGTATCTAATCGCGCTGCGAATAATTGTTTTCAATTATTGGGGGAATTGATAAACTCTCTCTCTCTCTCTCTCTCTCTCTCTCTTGTGGAGGATTTCCCAAGAGATGGGGCTCTTCGGAAATCCCAGAGCGCTTTCGTGGCTCAAAATCCAGGGAGAGAAAACGAGCTTTCTTTCAGCCAATGATTAGAGCGAACCGAGCGAACAATGTTAGATTTTATTACTAGTAAATCCCTTAATTTCAACCCCTGAAGTATTCGCGAGTAGAAAATACTTTTGCGTAATTATTTAAATAGCGCCATGCAAAAAACCTTAAAATTAAGAGATTTACATGTCCTTTTAGGGCACAAAGACATTTTTATATGACACGGGAAACCGGATGAAGGGAAGTCCATGGAAGTTAAACAGCAGAAGTATTCCGAAAAATTGCTAAGAAAATTGATAGGAAATTAGCTAACTGAAGCGCAAAAATTGACTTAATATTTTGCTTTAAATCGCTGCGTCCGCTTCGGTTTAGCACTTTTTATCTAAAATATCTGCTTTTTCTTAGTTCTTTGGCTTGCTAGGCAAATCGAGAATTTAAACGTTCAAATTCGTTACAAATAAAGTGAAATTGCCATATTTTGATCGGTAAATCATTGTATGGAGGAAATTATGAATGAAAGCTTAAGTTTCATGATAAGAACACAGATAAAAACTTGTACGCATTTATGTAACAGCCTTCAAATCTAACCTTGAGGGGAAAAAACACAAAGACCGCTTGCAATCGGCCTTCGGTTGATCAGATTTAAGCCTTCTGTGCGTCTTTCCGGCTTTCGATCGCTGGGGGTGGAAAAGATAGCGCGCTCTTTACGTGTAGTAAATGCCTTTATTTGGTCAAGAGAGTGTGATCGCTTAGTTGATGTTAGCGTCGATCCAGTTCCTGAAGGAGGACACCATGACGTAGACGGAGGGCGCAACGGTGGTGCCGCAGGGCGTGACTCCCCAGCTCACCACGCCGATCTGCGTCCAGGTGCCGCCGACCTGCTGCGACAGCGGGCCGCCGGAGTCTCCGCCGCAGGCGCTGATGGGGCCGCCGCCGGCGCACACGTTGCTGGTGGCGAGGTTGTTGCAGGCGCCGGCGATGACGGAGTTGAGCAGGTCGCAGCACTGCTGGAAGGTGTGCACGGGCTTGTTGGCGCGCTGCAGACGGTTGGGCATGCTGGGCACGTTGGTGGTGGACGTGGAGCCCCAGCCGGCGAGCACGGCGTTGCCGAGGATGGGCGCCTGTCCCTGGGCGGGCAGATTGATGGGCTGCACGTTGGCGTTGAATGTCAGAGTGCCGGCCAGGCGGCCCACGGCGATGTCATTGGGCGCCACGCCGCCAGGATAGTCGGGATGGATGATGTGCGGGTTGATCGTGTGGCGCTGCTGCGTGCCGGTGACCGTGAGGTCCGTGATGCCGCACACGGCGTCCACGCGGCCAATGTTGGGAATCTCAGTGTAGCAGTGAGCGGCCGTGAGGACCCAGTTGGGATTGATCACGGAGCATCCGCACACGTGACTGGAGGCGGTGATCAGCACCCACTGCATGGAGCAGATGTAGGGGAACTCGCCGAAGGCGGCGTCCTGTCCATTGGTGATCCTCTCATTCACGAAGGCCAACTTGGGCGTGCTAACGTCAGCTGCCAAGAAACAAACACACAACCCTCAAAAATCCACGTCCAGGGATCTCCCCAAGGCAGCAGAACACTTACCAGGAGCAGCCAAGACGGCGCTCACGAGAGCCAGAACAGCAACAAACACTTTCATCTTTGCAAAGTAATCACAAAACTCTGTACAACTGCCCACACTCTGCCGCGGGCTTTTATAGCGCCTCGCCAGGAAGATATCTTCTTCCCTATCTTATCGTGCGGATTCGGTGTTTTTCTCAATGATACGCTTTGGCTACTGAGCATTCAATCAAAATCTTATCGCTGCATCTCCAGATTATGCTTCTCTCCACAGCAGCAACAAAAGAGGGCTTTTCTGGACTTGTGTTGGCCATAAAACGGGCCTCCGGCACAGTTTTTTTTTTTGTTGTCAATGAGGGACAGAAGAAGGAAAATAAACCATAAAACTCACCTCATATTAATCGAACAGATAAAACTTCATTCTCAACACATTTTTCTTTTTCTTTCATTCCTGTCCAATCAAATTACTCAGAGGCTTCTCCTGATCCAACAGTGCTTGCGTGAATTGTTGATAAACACATTCCGCCCAAACAGAATCATGTGAGGAGAGTCGATCCGGCGGCCCGTGGAGACAGTCACTCGAGATTGTTCATCTGGACAGAGTGGAAAAATAGCAAGTCAGAGAGTGTTTATCAATTTGGAAATACCCCTGAAAGTGTGAAATTACCTGTAAGAAGCGGTTCCAGGTTTTTCCTCGCCATATCGCCAGCTTCGACACTTCATTCAAGCTCTTAAATTTTCCATTCACAGTTCTGTTTTTTTTTTGGGGGGGAGAAACCAAGAATTTCACAATTGTTTTGTGGAGAAAAAAAGTGTGTAACAAATGATTACCTGTGATTGATAATGTGAAAGGCTGTCTTCAGACCGATTTGTGATAGCAATTGGAGTTGCTTGAGATTTCCCGTGTTGATGATCTTCAGTATTTCCTCCTTCAGCACACTCTTCGCCCTGCTCTTGCGCCCCTTTGCCGCCTCAGTGGCATCCAGAAGTCCCTGCAGAATGTCCACATCGCGCGTTCTCTTCGTCCTGTGAAGCTTCTTCGGTGTTGGCAACTTCCTCACACTCTCCTGAAGCACACTTGTCGACGCAATTGCAGCAATTCTTGCACTTCGCCTCACACTTTCGTTCAAACCATGAGATTTCACAGTTTCCTCCCTTCTTGGCTTCTTCCTTTGTGGCTCCTCTGAAGCCTCCGTGTTTTGCACCACCCCAAACATCCCTGGCTGCACGGGAAACTCTGTGGTGGGAATGTCAGGAATCACAACGTCGAACGTGACATTTTGAGCCTCTTCTTCCTCAGCCTGTGCCAAGTTCTCCTCCTCCTCGGCGACGGAAGGACGACGCAGGAAGCCTGATATTTCCGTGCGAACAATTTGCTGCAATTCCTTCTTGATCTCATCCAAATTACACCTGAAATTTGACAAAATCGCATACATTAATTGGGATTCTCTTCAAAATTTCCCCAGAAGCAACAATCTTAAGCTCATGTCGTAAAGATATTTCCCAATTCTCACTTCCAAGACGCTCAAAGTCTACTGTCTTGGAGGAATTCCCTGGAGAAATCCCGAAAACAACAGATAAGAATCTTAAGACATAAATCAAGCCTCTCTTCAATCATTCTGCGAACTTTCGTAACAAATTTCCCCCCATTCAGAAGCCTAGAAATGCCCAGAAAATCTTGAAAGCAATGCAAATCTTTCTCTGGATTTCTTCAAATTCAACTCACGGGAATTCCTGGTTGCGCGACGGATTCGGCGTGGAGGCGACAAGCTCTTGACGCGCCACTTGAGGCGTCATCGTGTTGATCATGTTCTGCATCCGCTCACCGAGGCGCGCCTCCAGCTGCTCCACATGTCGCCGGATGATGGGACTGAAGGCCACTGAGGTGAGCGATGGCTCCAGACGCAGCGGCGCCTCGGGCTCCTCAGGCTTCTCCGTCGACGTGGACACATTGCCGGCGGCGAAGGAAGTGTCGCTCAGCGGTGGATTTCTCACGTCACTTCTCTTCCTCACCACTCTGCCATTCGCCATCCAACTCTTCGCGCCGGGCGTGGTGAAGGTTCTGTTGTGGAAGGGCGTCTTCACGGCCGCTTTCTTCGTCGTATCCTTGAGGGCATTCATGGTCTGGCGCTGCCTGGGTGTCACAGGAGGCTTGGTTGGTGTGTTTCTGCGCGCATTCTGAATCTCCGTGATTATCAGGTTGATTTGCGGATTGTTCTTCATCGATTTGGCATTCTTGGCGAATCTCAGAGTGTTCAGCGTCTCATTGGTGTTCGCCATGGATGGACTGATGCAGGCGAGGAGCGTGAGATAGCAGTTCTTGTTCAGAGAATCCTGCAGAACAGTCGTGAGAATGCTGTCGCGATAGGGAATGAGTTTGTCCCCGGAGGAGATTGCCTGGAGAATCCTGCCCATGCTGAGGAGGCCCTGGTTGATGTTCACACCCTCTGCCAGCGCCAGGCCCTTGTGTTCGGTCTTCCGGATGCCCTCAGAGCCGGCGAGATCGACAAAGTTGAAGGCAGAGTTGATCGTGCAGGTCTTGGACTTCCGGACACTGATGTAGATCGTGAAGATGGCATGCGATCGACTGCTGTTGGCATTCATCTTCGTTGGACGCACGTGGCGATTCTTATTGCCCTCCTTCAGCACCTCAAAGGCCTCTTGAGCGTCGAGAATCCTCTCCTTCTGGCATCCCTGGTATTTGTACACTGAAGAACAACGCGACAAAGGTCAGAAGACTGAATCAACAACTCCCTAATTCTACTCACTCTTCATGTTGACAGGCTCTGTAAAGTTCCTGGACAGGAGATCGTACACCTTCTCATTGTAGATTTCGATGTACGACACCGCGAGTTCCGGCAAGTTTTCCTGCTCTTCCGACACCTCACACTGCTCCTGGACTCTTGCGCACACCGCTGAGATACTCCTGGTGATCAGTCCACTGTTCTCGTCGCTCAGCAGGTTCCTGTGCAGCCCCATTGTGAAGGTTTTCCCGTTCCCGGAATGGCCATAAGCCAAAACCGTACAGTGAAATCCCAGAATCATCTTGTCTATCAGCGGCGCCACCAGATCGCGATACACCTGCTCCTGAGATGTCTCCGGGCCGAAGACATGATCGAAGACGAAAGGCTGGTCATCCACAATGATGATCTGCATGGGAAATAAGAAGAAAAACCTCTCAAAATTCATGGAATCTTGCGACGAAACAGCAAAACATACATTATGGTTTGACGAGTGAACTTCCACCGCGGATTCTTTGCATCCTGACTGCACTTCGAAGTCATTGAATGGCCTCTCGCGAACAGCAATCTTCACTGCACAGTTATCATTGTCCATTTTGCACGACAATGAAGGATAAATGAGTATAAATAGGAGATTTGCAAGAGCCCAAAACACAAATGTAATAATCCGTTGACGCGCGCGACGCTCTTTTTGACAGTAACAGCATGTCACATTTGAAATCAGACGGCGCACCGTTGGCAGCACTGTCACAACACTGTGAGTTCTATGAAATCTTTTCAAATTCTAACGGAAAATCCTTGAAAAATCGCGATGAAAAATTGAATTTAATGGCAAAAAGGAAAACATTATCACCTGCATTTTTATTGTACTTTTTATTTCGATTAATCATAATTTTTCTATCAACAATTTTATATTCTCCTTCAAATCTTTCTTCATAATATTCCTTTTTTTCAATTTTAAATTCATACTTTATCTAAATTCCACTTGAATATATTCTTATTGGCGCACATTTTTTTTCAGATTGAGACATTCACGATCCATTGAGGGATTTTTCGTTTGCTTCTGCAGAATTTTTTTCTCTTCTTTTTCTCTCAAACATTTATTGTTTGGTTTTGTTTTTTTTTTTGAGGGGCGGAAAAAGAAAGTGACTTTGGATCACGCGATTGCTCAGAAATTTTTGAGATTTAAGATGGGAAAACAGGAAGTTTGGAGAGAATTGGATTTTGTGCGTTAATAATAATATATTAATCGAAACGTTTTCTTTTTTTTTACTTTATGTTTTTCACTAGTTAGTTTAATATTTTTTTAGCGGCACAAAAACTGGCAAGTTTTACCTCACTTTTAATCATTTTTTTTTTTATTAATTTTTCCTCTAACAAAGTCTCATGTTAATGAGTACATCTCATGAATGATCACTATTTACACATTAATTGATTTCTCAGCTATTTTTTTTACTATTTTCCAGAAATATAGTTCACATTCTTCTATTCTGTCTGCAAACTAAACGGTGGTTACATTTTTTCTTATGTGTGTGTTTTAGTGTGGGAATTTTCCTATGATTCTCATCTTATCTATTCTCATAATTTCTTCCTCTTCTATTAGAAAAAAAATTATGTTTAGTTTAAATTAACTTCACTGCCTGTCTTTCCTCTCGACGCTCGCCAAACACAAGTCATCATCAATCTGTAGGCCATCAAAAAATGTTTTATTTACTCCTTACTTGACAATGATTATATGCTGAAGTACACAAAATATTCCGTATAAGTATTCTCACTAATGCAATTCTTACAAATAAAAAAAAGATACTTTCTAGTAAAATTCAACATTTTCAATACTCTATATTTCAATATATTTACTTTTTTTTTAAATATTTAATAAAAATCAGTTTTCCACACTTTTTTAACCACGATTTTATCTTCTGTAGTGTTTTTTTTTCTCCTCTTCCTTTTTTTCTAGAGCACAAAAATTGTTTTCTTACATTTAAGGTTTTTTTCTTCTTTAGATGAAATTTTTTTTTGTATTTTTAGATAAAATTTTATGATTTTCTCTTCATTTATGGATTTTCTTTTGACACTTTCATTGTTAGAAAACAAGATGTTTCTTTATTAGATTTATTCTTCCTGGCTAAGACAAATAGCTACATTTACGATTTCTCTTTTCTTTAAATTCTTCACGCAAAGAATATTTAGTTCTATTCAGGATTATTTTTTCCACCCTCTATTTTAAAAATGAATAATTCACCGAGATTCTCACCCCAAATGACTTCCAGTGTTGATCAATTGGATTTCACCAGAGGAAAAAATCCCCCAAAAGAATTTGTCACTCAGAACTTCTCTTTTGTATTTAATTCTTTGTTTGGAAAAATTGTGCCGCAATCAAAATGCAATGCCTTGAATTTCCACTCTGAATTTATCATTAAATATTTACGAACTAGGATTAAATTTTTATTTAATATTTTTCTCTACTGAATTCGTGATTTACGAAAGTTTATCCTAATTTCCATTTTCTTCACTCTCTTTGTGTCAACGTGGGCATTTTTCTTCATTCTATCATTAGAATTGTCGTTTTTCACTGATTTTTTTTTCCACATTATTATTTTAACTTGTGATTTGATCCTGGTTTGACAATGTTTGTGAGTAAATAATTCATTTTCCCTGTATTTTAATGCGCGGAGAATTGTTTTTTTTTCCTTCTGCGACAGAAAATGGAGAAAAAAATGTCTTCATTCCTTTTGTGTTTCTTTGCAATTCTCATTCTCTTATTCTCTCTAACTGTGTTCAAAATGTGACGTTGGTTTTTACTGTTTACATATATTTATCATAGAACATTGATATTTATGTTATTATTTAGGAGATTACAATAATGCTACAATAAGATTAATATTCAATAAACATTTATTACTGGATTATAATTTTTTCTTTTACTTTCCCATTAAATATTATATTTATGTATTATTATTATTACATACTTTTTTCTTCCTTTTTTCTCGAGTGAAATTAAAGGCATTTTGAGAGCATTCAATTTACTTTGAATTGCCTTCCAAAAAACGTTCCACAATGCAAGAATATCTTGTTCACCATAGCATGAATTGGAGCTAATGAAATGTGACAATAAAAAGTCGGTGCACATTATGGGGCTCTTTTTGTGAACTCACCCTCAATATTGATAACATTGCAATATCCCCAATATTCCCCTCCCCCCTCCCGAAAAACATCCCTTCGAAAACTGTGGTGAACAAATTCAAACAATTGCGCTGCAAATTAACGATTTTGGCAACGACACAACCAGGTTTTCCGTATTTGCCGAGTTGTGAATTTCCATTGAGCGCCTTTTTTCCTCCTGTGAAATCTCAATTGCCCAACAAGCCGGAAAGCACTGTGGAAAAATCCCCGTTCTTACTCACGAGTGTGTTTTCTCGCAGAAAATAGGGAATGAATTTGTTATACGCCTAAATTACTCTCTCTTCACCGTCCATGCAAAGTGTTTTATCATCTTTAAAATGTTAGGCATGAATCCAATAATGTTATCTAACAACAATAAGTTTTTTTTTTATAGATTTCATCTTTTCTCTGCTCCTTTTCACCACCCTTTTTCTTCTTCTTTAATTAATACAAGTACAGACAAGCCTATGATGTAAGATTTTTATTTTCTCAAGTATATTTCATCTCTTTGTCTTCCTTCCACTTCTTTGGATAGAGTTTTTTTTCTTTTTAAATATCAGTTTAACAACTTTTGAAAGTTTATCGTGGATTTTCACCTTCCTCAGCGTCAATCTCTGTCACAGTTGTCATTCCCTCTCTCAGAGATAGCCAAGAGTGGCGTAAGTTTTAACAAATGGCGCGTCTACAGTTGCGGACATGTCTCTGGAAGAGAGAGATGGAGAGAAAAAATGGGAAGAAGGACATGAGAGAAGTGTCTTCACAGTGCGACGAAGTTTTGATGAGCGCAAAAACTTCTCAGACACAGCAAAATGTCTTCAAATGATATTCATATCTGCACATAAATTTCTTTCCTTCCAACACATGTACAACAATTCAATAAACGACTATAGATTTGCTTGATCCTTTGCAACTTTGGTTAGTTGCGGAAGAATTGAGGCATTTACTGTGCTTTTCACTAAAGAGACGACTTGATAGAAGAGTTGAATTGAATTTCTCTAAAGGATTCTGTGTGCCAAGTTATTTAATTAGGTGTTACAGGAACGTTTCAAAGCAGAATTTTAGCTAAATTCAATTCAAAGTTGGAAAATACAAAAGTTATTAGTGTGCAAATCCTGGTTTAAATGCACTCAGCTACTCAACAAGGGGTGAATAAATGTGCCAATTTTTCGACATTTAGCAAATTTTAATGAAAACGATGTTTTTCCGATCAAAATGTAATTTTGAATGCATTTTATAATTTCATTTAATTTTGTATCGATCAAATTTACCTTTTTGGCACTCAAAATTCACCGCGAAAAACACTTTTTTACCCCTTAATAAAGCTCTTATTTTAAAATATAATGGAAAAGGCGCATTATTAACTATACGAATTAACCGAATTGACCTAATTTCCACAAGAAAATGTAGTTATTTCCACATGAGATTCAAAGCTACAAACTATTTTCGGAAGATACTCACTCATCTTCCCAGGGACACACCGGATTCCTCTTGCCATCGTCCTCCTGGCTCTTCTTTTCGCCCTGTTCATCCTTGCTGTCGTCGCTGTGCTTCGTTTCCGAGTCCCGCTTCTTGCGCCTCTTCTTCTGCCCAGCTGCCGCGCTCTCTGGGCCCGGAGTCGACGGCGTGGAGCGCGTAGCCGCCGGCGTGGTTGCCTCCTCCTCTTCCGGCTCATCGTCCTGCGTGTCCTGCTCCACCTCGGCCAGCGGCGCTATGGAGGGCGCCGGAGTGGGCGCCGGCGCCACACAGCCCGGCTGTAGCGTCACGCGCCCCTCGGCGGGCATCTCGTCGTAGTCATAGTCCTCGGACGACTCCTGGCGCACGCTGTGCCTGGGAAACTTCTCCAAGCACTCCTGATACTCCTCGATCGTCGGCGAGACGCTCTCCGCCTTGGCCGAGGCCGCATCTTCGGCCGCCGAGGTGCACTTGATGATCTCGTCGTCCTCCTCCTCGACCACCTCCTTCACGAGCTGGAAGCTGGTGGATTTCTTCACGATGCCCACGGGCTCCGGAGGCTCTACCTCCTCAATGGGACACACGCTGATGGTCGGCGTGACGCCCTGCGATCTGGGCTCTGCCTCTGGCGTCGGCGCCTGAGCGGCACTCTCCACCGTCAGGGACTCATTGCTGCGCCCGAGCGGTGTCTTGGCGCTCTTCTCCTCGCTCGCCGCCCTCCGCGGACTGCCGCCCTTGGCCGCCTCCTCCTGGATGGGCCCCGGCTTCGCCTTACCCGACTCCTTGTCCTCGGCACCCGAGGTTGAGAGCGAGAGCTGCGACGTGCTGTAGCGATGATCGGTAAAGGGAAGCGGAGCTGATGCGAAAATCCCTGAGATTCCGGCGCCCAGGGAGGACTGACGTGTGGAAAATTGCAGATCGGAGAGTCTGCAAGAGTCGAGAAGCAACATGCATTAAGTATTCTCCCACTTGAATAAATTATTGCACAAATTGAGAACACGTGAGAAGCTCTCTTTCCCACCCCCGAAAATCCTCCCTGGAAATCTCATTTCATAATTTTATTCCACATGCTTCAACTTTTCCGAGAAACTCAGAGTTTTGAGTCAAATCTGCATTTTAAATTGGATTTATTTCACACAGGGAGTAATTTCATGAGAAGGGAAATTACAATTTTGCACAAGGATCAATGTGAAAGTCGAATTCCTTAGAGGTTTCTTAGTGGCAAACTTCCAAGATCTTACCTAGGTGCGATAGTAACTGAAGCTCTTCTTTGCTCCGTGACGGCGGGCATAAGACGCTTTGTGCTGTGAAAATCAGAATCAAGGGTGTTCTGCCTGAGGCCACAGGAGCGTCTCATTCTCTCGGAAACTTCTGTAATTTCACTGGACGTATTCCTGATCTCCAACTGCGATGGCACTTTCGGTCTGTGGTGGCCAGAGAGAGAGATAGAGTGGAATTTATGAGGGGCGATAAAACTTTCGCTCACTAATTAAATTATCTGGCCAAGCCAGGAATCGACCAGAGAGCTCACCTGGCTCCTGATTTATTCGATGGCACGCTCGCACCCTCCTCCTCCCACGGACAGATGGACACGGACACGGATGACTCCACGGATGGACCGGAATCCCATGGGCACACGGCGGACGTCTCGGCGGACGCCTCGAGACTGGCTGGCTCTCTGCGGGCCAAGAAAACAGGTGAGCAAGAGTTCTTCAAGGCGCCTTGAGAACAACACTGATATAGATATTGTAACACTTAAGGATGTTCATCTCAATAATCTTCAACATTTTTTGTGGGGCAGATCAAAAATTTAGTCAGCCTTCTCGATCCATCACTAAATGATTAGCTCTATAAGGACTGACTTTCAGCCAGACAGTCAAAATATTATTTGCAACTTATTATATACACACAACAGAGAGAGAGAGAGAGAAACTTGCTTGTGGTGAGAGCAGAAGAAAGTTTTGGTGACTTGCAAATATTACAGAGGGAAAGACAGGGCGCAAGATGAACAATGAGAATTCACACTGACATTCGAGATAATTGGATGAGACGCGCTTCTGGGATTGGTAAGTACACAATATAGCATCTCCAATTTCTCAACAGACTCATATAAACCATCATTACACAGTGAGAGTGACACCAAATGCATATTTTGTACACACAAATCAACCAAAGATAGAAGAAGACCAAACACACAGTGCCTTTTACATTTATATATATATATATAGTGTGGTGTGGAATCCGATTCTCTGCAACTCTCCGATAAACCATCTTATCAAAATACACACATTCCCAAAAAAAAACACATTTCTCCTGCGGTTAAACTATGTGCCAAAAACACACAAATGGGAAAGACAAGCTCAGCAACAGACTTTTCATATGCAAAAATCATGGTTTTGCTCCCCACTTTTCCTTCTCTTCTCTCCCATCATTTTTCGCGGAATTATGTCAAGAAAGTACACAGGAAATGAAGAGAGAGAGAGAAACAAGGAAGACACAAATATTTAATTATTAATTATCACATTACTTTTTACGGAAAAAAAAATCAAATAATCAAAATTGGAAAAAATAGTCATAAAATGATCTTTCTCCACGTAAAATCGCAAAAAAAAACAATAATTTAATATAATATATTCTGAATTATTTTCTCCACATATCGCCGCCAGAGGGCAGCAAAGGTGGTGTAAGGGACGCTTAAAATATCGCATTTTTCGCATAATTTTCTCTGTCTTCTCATGCATTTTCACATTTTCTGGCGTGATCCTGGCCAGAAAAGAAGAAAATTTAAGCGTGAGAGTACAGCTTTTTGCGTCTCACGAGCAGCTGATCAAGCTTAAAAGGCATGAAGAATTTCCGATTGTACTTCCCAAAGGTTAAATTGGTAAATTTGTGACTTTTTGTCTTTTTGTCAAAGTTGAGAAGCCAATAAAATTGTCATAATAAAGAATACCAATCAAAATTTAAATAAAAATCAAAAATGGTCTCAAATTGCGATTGACTTTCCTCTTGTGGAAAGATTAATAATTCCAGATTTCGGCGCTTTTCTTCGACATCACACACAACCCGAGCTTTTTCCTTTGGCGAGGAAGGACAACATGTCTTCGCGAATCACGCTGACATTCTCATCTTTTGGCACAACTTTTTAAATAATTGTCTTGGCGAGAGAGCAAATAATTTATTTCTAACAAGTATAATCATTCCAAAAATTTCTGTGACATGCGAAGAAGAATTTCACATTATGACTCTCAGATCGTCAGGACGTTTTTCCAACTCATCCCAGAATGGAGAGAAAAACCCTAAGCAAACTCTATCAACATTGTGCCCATGACTTATTAACCGTAAAAGCTTGGAGGCAATTTGACATACATAAATTATTCGGGTGAACATTTAAAAACAAGTCAATTAATTAAGGTGAAGATGAAAAATGCAAAAGAGCACAATTTATTCAGGAAAGAAATTAATTGCATGGCAAAGTATAAATCACGATATATATTGTCCACCGAATTTTGGGTGTTAACACATTTTCTTATTAAGAACTTCATGCGACATTTAATTATGGAAAAAGGGAATCCCATTATTATTCTCAACACGAAATTTTTGGGAAGTTGAAAGTGTTGATAACATATTGTCTAGCGATGGAGAGGAAGGAAAAAAGAGCAGGTAAAGTTTCTTCGTTCTTTTAATTAGTGCCTATTTTCATTAATATATCACGTGAGACATTTTTCTCTATGAGCTTTTGTAAGTTTCATCGCGCTTCGCGCTTTGGTTTCACAGACGCGCGCTCTCTGTATGCTTTTCTTTTGGGGGAGCTTCTTTTTCAGGGGAAAATTCCGTGACTGGTGTACGAATAAAAATATACGACGAACAAAGGGAAGAGGACGATGGAGGAGACATTAAAAGAGGAGTGAAAACAGAACAAAACACTAACAGAAAAGCAACATCTAGAGAGAGAGAGAAGAGTTTTTATACAGTGTTTTCTGGTGATACAACACATTTTTATCCAACACGAAAGTTATTATTCAGGAAGTATTTAGTGTCTATTTAATTTTTCTTTTTCTCAATGAAAAAAAAGGATACTAAAAGGAAAGTTCTTTCTTTTTTGCAATGTAATGAAAACATCAAGGAAATCGCTTCAATGTATTTTATTCGTTTTTTTTCCTCACACACAAAACACTCTTCTTTGGGTATTTACTATTATTATTGTATATATTTTCGAGACTCTGCCAAAAAACGCGCACCTCCTCGAGTCCAAATAAAACCTCCAACCAAAATCCGTAATAAATTATATAATCACAACTTTCTGGCTCACATAAATGTGTTTGAAAAAAAATAAATAAAATACATTTGAACAAAATACTGAAGAAGATATTCACTTATAACACGCATATACAAATATTTAATATATATAGTGTGTAATAATTGATGAAAATCAAACTATATAAATTACTTCTCAATTCAATTACTGTTTAATCAAATTTTACTTGTCTTTTTTTTCATGGAAAAAGTACTTTTTTTTGTATAAAGAAAGAAATAGAAAGAAAGAGGAAATGTTCGGCGTCTTACTGAATTTTCGTTTTCTGATTGAATCCTCCAGGGGAGAGTGTGGGGGCAACTTTGTTTGGGACTTCCGATTGCTCCGCTATAACAGCTATAACCAACCCACCTGATGGCATATCACCCCTGTAAATCACCACACACACATCACAATGATTTCATATAATTTTTGGCTTTCACAGGGACAAGGTTTCGCGCGCTTTGGGAATTCGCTGCTTCGCGACCTTTTCACATGATTTCTCAGAGTTGATGACAAAAATACATGTTAAAGAGCACAAGTGAGAAAAGAGCAAAAAAACATTGGTAAAAATCATGGCAAAATTAATAGGAAAAAAGAAATGTAATTAAACTTGAAAAAATTCTCAATGCAAAAGTGAAAAAAATGTTATATAATGTATTGTTCAATATGGATATTCTCAATTTATCCAAAGAGAGAGTCTTTGGTTATAAAAAAGTTTGCTGACAAAATAACACAAAAGAACTCTTGAGCAGAGTAAAAAAAAAGCCACCCTGTGGCGGTTTGAACTTTGCAAGGCGGAAAAGTGTAGAGAAGAAACTTTTTTTTCTCATCATCGGTCTCTAATATGTCGAGTGGCGCCTGGAAAGTGCGTGAAGAGAAATTCCTCGTGACCCTTTCTCGACAGGCCGAGACAGAGAAAATGAAATTGATTCTGATCTTCCGGAAGAGCAACATTTTAAATCCGTGCCCGAGGGGCTGATGAGGGTCGAAAGTCTTATCCAATGGTCAAGAGAAAGAGCGAAAGCATGGGAAAAACAGGGCGGAAAGCGCTCTGGACTCACCTGTAGGGAATGTCACTCAAATTGCTCTGACTGTGCGAGTGCGGAACTTTGCCGGAAGCGTCTGTAAATGAGAGAGGAAGTGTCATCAGTCGCGACTCGCGGTTAATCGGTATTCCCTATCACTACAGCACAGTATGGATTGCAAATTCAACCTTTCACTCCGGACACGGCCAACTCGTGTGCCGACCCTGACAGGCTCCTGTCGCTGCCACGCCGCCGACCTAGGCTGCTCTGTGGGTTCGTCATGCCCGACCCCGAACCCTGAAACGACAATCTCACGTAAAATCTCACCCAATTCACTGCTCAAGAATAAAAAAAAACCCGAGAAAAAGCACATTTTCCGCGCCACAGCGCATCTCACCTGGGTCAGGAGGCCAACATTGGGGGTCACCGCTGTGGAGGCCTTCTTCTTTCCGGCGCCGCCGAAGCCGAAGAAGCGCTTCTTGTGCGACGGCTGGATTCCGCTGGCGAGGAGGGATTTGTAGTGCTCGGAGCGAATGAAGCGCGGATAGCAGTCTTTCTTCAGCAGCAGAGCGTAGATATGCTCCGCGGCCGCGTCGAAGGTGAATCTCGAGGGGCTCTTCAAGCCTTGCTGCACCTTCTCCATCGTCTTGCAGTCCACATTGATCTCACATGGTGCTCCAGGCTCGAGGAATTCCCTGCAAACACACATACATTTGCCAATCCTCATCTATTGCGCCCCTTTGGACAAAATTGCACTTGTGCAGAGGATTTTCCAGGGCTCATGAATATTTTCCAACTATGCATCCTCACTTCTGCCAAAGCTCTGAGGCTTTGAACGTAAAAAAAGCAGACATAAATATGTATGATGATGGTGTTTTTCGGGGATTTCCCAATGATAATGCCACCGAAAGCAAATATATTCCAAATAGAATGAGCCAAATACCATCATAAACGGAATAAATGGCTCTTTCAGAGTCTATCTGATGATATTGCCGGCGGTATCTTCGGAAATGGTGGGCTTTTTAAAGTGATCCCCCCATTTTGATAGAATAGGAAAAGCTGAAATATTTCAATCATTGATTTTTGTTGCAAAATTTCCATGACACAATTTAAAGCTTTCCGCGAATTATACGGAGTCAAGCTTTAAGCCCGATCAGCTTTCGGAAACATATTAGTGTGATAACAACAATGATTGCTAATTAAAATTTAAGCTGTTTAGAGATTATGAGCCGTAAAAACATTATATAATGACCACAGAATAAATTATTGCGCAATGTATAATTAGAATGATTTAACATATAGCAAAATGGTTTTGGCGAGATTATTCAACCAGAACCCAATTTAGAGGTTTTAACCCCACTCACTCGTAGATCTCCTTCACTTTGCGAGCGATCTGAGAGTGCGCCGACCGCCGGAGATCATTGACGGCCAGCCAGAAGCGGATGTTCTCGTGCGAGTACTCCTTCTTGAGGTACGCCGTGAACTCGATGAGGCCCGTGGGATCCGACACGAGCTCCTCGATGGAGATGCTCCAGCGCTTCACGCGCTTCTCCGTGGGCACTTCCACGAGGGCGCTGTTGAGCTGCCAGAACGTCGTGTCCTCCGACACCCACGGATTCGACGGCAGCGCCGGCTGCATGAGCGGATCGTACTCGGCGAAGATCTCATGGTACGCCACGAGACTCTCGCACGCCTGCGACATCTTCATCCGCGTGCGCCCCAGCGAGGCGGCCAGGAAGTCCACCTCACGCTGCCAATCGTCCGCGCTGCGCCGCCTCGGCCGGCCCTGACGATCGCGCGACGGCACAGGACACGGCTCCAGCGGCGTGAATTGCCCCGGCGGCGGCCGATGGACGCGCCAGTACGCTCTCTCCTGCGAATCTCCTACGATCTTGTCACCCTTCTTGCGCTCCTTGGCCAGCTTCACCTGCTCCTCCGCCTGCATCTTTATGATGTCCCATTTGCCCTTCAGGTTCTTGTGCAGACTGCTCAGCGCCTCGCTCTCGTAGTCCTCCAGACCGTGGCGCTGCTTGTTCCTCATGGATCTCTTCTCCAGGTAGATGGCGTACTCCACATTGTCCGGCGCCTTGTGCTGCCATGGCCAGTAGTAGGGCGTCTGGAAGCGATACAGCGAGGAGTCGTCCTTCACCACCAGCGTCTTGCTGTCGTTCACGGGGAAGAAGTAACCGTGGAGGCACAGCTGATTGGCGATGTTCAGCGCCTCGGATTCCTCAATGCCCAGTCGCTCCATCAGCCACTCCACCAGATCGTAGCCCATGAAAGCAGATGGAATGGATGTGAGGAAGAGCTTCTGGCTTCGCACTGGCACGCCATTCTCCGTGTCTTGCATCTCCCGGACGAGACCTTCCATCTGCAAAGAAGCCAAAATTAGCATCATTTGTCAAACTATAAGTATCTGCTGTGCGTTTTCACCCTCTTTCTCTGTCTTTCACATGCTAATCCACCTGAGAGAAACCCCTTTTTTTGGCTTCTTCACAATCCGCCCCCAACAAATTACGTCAAAAGCTCTCGGCGAGTGGCGGGAAAATGTGATAAAATGCTCCTGAAATCCCTTTTATTTCTCCATGTCATGTGCTCTTGTCTCTCTTCTCCCCATTTTTATGACTTTTCATTTATTGTCACGGTTGTTTTATTGTCTGCCCTATTATTGTCTCTCATGTACTGCGCTTCCGGGAAGTGGAGGGAAATTTGTGGTGAGACTCTCTCCGGTGAAAAGTCTGTCATCAAATGGGTCTCCACGTGCTGCCTCCGGCGTTAGGGGGAATGGGGAGAGTGACTATCGAATCGGGGTGTCTTCCCTCTCTCTGCCTTATTGATTTTCTTCCCCCCGCGCGCGCGACAGACACACTGCCACTCAGCCATCAACCCCTAAATATTCTCCACAGCCACGAACGAATGTCTATCATTCCAAGCTACACTCTTATTGATTGCCAGAGAGAGAGACTTCTTGCAATAAATAATTGTGTTTACCATGCATTATTCATAAAACCACGCTTCATGTTAAGCGGAAGATACACCCTTTCGCGTGTACACGCCGCAATGAGGCGCTAATGTGCGAATCCTGTCGGAGATTCAATTTGCTAGATGCTGCTGCACATTCACATCCCCTTGTCAAATTTAATGCAACCACAAACAGGCAATTTTGATATGAAAATAGCTCCACATGAGCTGAATTCATTTGATGATTAATTTACTGGGAAAAGTGCTTTATGTCACACTAAAGCATCTTTAAAAACCATCAATAAAATATCATACATAAAATGTTGCCAAAATGAGGAATAAAAGATTGACTTTTGTGCAACGGAAAACTATACATAAAGAACATCAATATAAATGCTCAGAAAAGGGGAAAAATGTATATTTCGCTTCATACAATAATCATAAAAGCCAGAATAAAAGCTTGAATGTCAGTGAAATTAATAAAATAAAGAGAAATATTTACAGGAAACGACACTTGTCATTCTAAAGTGCATAAAACGCCCACTTATAACCCAAACACTTTATCCAGACACACAAAATATATGCCGATAAAAGTGGAGACCTTTCGTAGAGAGATGCTTGAGAAAAAAAAGTCGTAAATGTGTGCCAATGAATGAAATTTGATTTTGATCAACATTTTGAGGTTCAACACTAAATGCAAAGTAAGGATATTGACGAGAATCCAACGAAAAGTTGCTCCACAGCCATAATTTGTCCAAGATGAAAGTTCTCTTGGGCAAACTTTTCTCTTCCTTTTTTACGACTATTGCTCCCTTTTCTGCTGACGACTCCTCGTCTCTCACAGACGATGCCTTGAGTCACAGGCAGAAACTGAAAGTGCGTCGAGGGAGGATATTTTGCGAGAAACGGATGTGACTGTGGAAACTTTTATTGCCAATATATAATGGGCGCACAGTTGCCGCTCAATGCGAGGAGGGAGTGATTTTTCAGGGGTGTCGGGAGAAGAGAGTGCCGGATGGGCTCCGAAATGCCCCTCAGGGTGTGAGATTTCGACCGAAAACGACTCCGGTCATCGATACTGCAAAGTATTCCGGCACGCAGTCGGCATGAAGATGGAAATTCCAAGGGGGAAAGACTCCTTAACACTTCTCAGTGCCTCGAGAATACAAAAAATTTAGCAATTACCAATTTTTTTTTAGTAATCTATCTTAATGATAAGAATAATCCAAAAGAGCTCGAAGTCTTGCGTCAATTGCAGTTGCACAGCAGTGCAGATTGTGATATCTCCCCCTTGGCGAATTCCTCAGAATTGTGATCGCCCGATGGGGGAGGAAAGGGGGAAAGGGTGGTGTAATGAGCAAAGTGGAAATTCCCCTCCGAATGCTGCCCAATTTTCTGGGCGAAAAACAATTTTTGCTGTGTCCCAAAAAGCACGAGTGGGTAAATCGATGATTTTGGCGTGAATTGAGTGGAATTTATGTCACTTGCAATTTACATTGATTTCGTTGATTTCTCCTCCCGGTCTTGGGGTGGTTTTTTCTTGCGTTATTTATGTAGATATTTGTCACTTTGTGGCAAATTGCCACTCCTCAGGACGAAAATTTTTCCACATTGAAGCATAAGCAATTTTTATCTATTTTTTTCACTTGCACACCACTCTCCAACATCGCACTTTGGTGTGTTTCTCCCTCTATTTTCTTTTATTGCCTCTGGCTGTGCCTTTTTCTGCTGATCGGCAGAGGAAGAGTGAAAGTTCCACTGCCATTGAAACTGTCGTCGCACATATAAATGAGCCCACCCTTCAGCTCAGATGGAAAAATTATTTTTTTCCCACTCACCCCATTACCCTTGTATTTTCACCAATCTACGATTGCCAGAGCGGGGTTTGCTGTTCGATTATTAGACTGAGGAGGAAGCCCAGAATTCATCACTGAGAGAAAGAACTTGAGCTTGCTTCTGGGAAAATCCTATGAATTCCCACCAATTAAGGACTTCAACGTGATGAATATTCAAATTCAGAAATCACAAATGCACTTTAATCATCATGCCAATGAAGCTGGAGATGAAGAGAGTCTTGACAAGGCGATGTGATTTGTGTGTACCCACACGAAATATTGAGATTTTGATTGCATACAGAAGTGTGAGCGACTGAAGGACATGATCAACACCGAAGCGCTCCTTGTTCACCAACCACTGACCACAGAGTGTCCATAATGGCACCACTTTCCCATATTGTCATGCTCATTTTCCGAGAATGCTCAAGTCTCGTCGACCTGAATAAACAGGAGCAATTTAATTAAAATTGTAACTCACCGACCGAAAGTCAACAAGCTTATTATTCTTAGTTCCGGCGCTGTGTAGTGAGTGATGATTGGGGCTGGGAAAATAGATGAAAATCCAAAGAGTTGAAAGGCTGCTCTCTCTCACTCTCTTTATTGTTTTCCTTCCTTTTTCCAACTACTTCCTCTCCCTTCAAGCTCTTCATACACTTTCCCCAACACAAATCAATGATGCCACTCGCTCGTCATTTATTGATGCGTGATTAAAGGGGGGAAAACCTCATGCGAAGGGAGGAAGGAGAAATCCTTCTATGTGCCTTTTTTCCCCCCTCAAACTCCCAGTAAAACCAATAAAACATTTTAATTAATATTTCATTGAATACGCGCCGTTTCACGACACACACACACACACGCGTGTTATTTGTGAACTATTTTGGCATGAATTAACACAGAAACGGTATATTTTGTCAATCTGCAGAGCTTTCAAAGCTCTCAAGTTGCACAATATATTGTGCGAATTCTTTGAGTTGCCAGTCGTGGTGAATTGATGAAAAGCATGGCAAATATTCAGAGTGACGCTGAAGGGAAGCAATCTTTCCCCGACAATACAATTAAATTCCATTGCCAACGCACATCCTCATGCCTCATGGTTTGATGAATTGAGTGCAGAAATTACGGGCCGGTCAATTAAATTGATCCCAGGTGAAAGGCACATCACAGTTTGAGTGATTTTCTACTCATGCGGTGAAATTGTATTTCACTAACATGCAACCAGTGCAAGATAATGGAGGAAATTGATGGGGTTTTGCGGTTGAATCTCCACAGTATAACACAATATTTGTTTCAAGTTCACACTACAGTCGCCTACATTGCCCGAATTTATGCTGATTGCACTCTGGACACTCTCAATTGCTAGGGATGCAATTCAAAATGTACGCACCGATGGCCTCACAGAATTCGCGGTGAAGCTTTCAAGGATTGTTCGCTTTTAGGCTAATTACAGCTGAGCTGATTTTCGAGTTTGCACTTCAGTCACAGCGAATGATAAACAGAGAATAAGATTTGTGCAAATTTCTCATGAAATATTATGTGAACTTATAATTTCGGGAACAGAAGCAGTGGCAAAGTGCAGCTGGGAAGGAGAATTTTTGAGATTTATGAGAAAACTCAAGAAAGGTCACTGCTATGCTTGCCAATAGACTATATTCAGAACTTGTTGACTGCTTCCGAGCATTACATATTGCTCTATATGTGAGTTTTGTGCAATTTGCGGGCAAAGTTCAAAGTTGACGATGATTTTAGAAACCCACAAAGCACCACGAACTCTCTGGGTGCCATTTTGCGGAAGGATGGCAAATTGCAGGAGTGAATTGTCCTTACCTTGTCGAACGCCATGGGCCTGGAGAGTCTCTCGAGAGTTTGTGGCTGCGCCGCCGCCGTGCCCGCCATTCCGCCGCCGGCGGTGAGCCCGGAAGAGGAGGCGGCCGAGCTGGCGACCGAGGCTGCAACGGCTGATCCACCGCCGACAGATGTTATCTGGATTGTGGGGAAGCTGAGGGCGCTGGGCTGCGGTGACTGCGGATTCTTCTCCTTGTCTTTGTCTGGCGGAACAACGCCAGAACTGGGTGGCTCCATTGCCACCAGATTGGGAGATGAAGAGCTACTCTAGCCAAACTCCATTATTTTGGTGTGTTTGCAAGAAAATCTCACTGCAAAAAAACTCAAAGCAATGCATTCAAATTCCGCCAAGAGCGCGCGAAAGCGATAAACTTACATAACTCCATTTATAGGTTTCCTCTGTTTCTTGTCGGCCACTGCGTCTCGCCTTGCCACAGTGATTTATCAGATGAATCGCCCACAATCTTCGATTGCTCGAAGAGATTTCCACGAGACGGAATCTGGGGCTGCGACCAGAACAGACAAGAGGTATCTGTATGCAGCGGTTCGAGCCCCTCACCCATCTCGGCGTCACCCCCACATGCGATCTGCAAGGACAGAAGGGAAACTTATAGTGCACAATTTGGCGGCTGAACTCACTAATTTCATGATAAAGTGACGCCAGAGGCAGAAAGTTTTGGCGTAATGACCGAAACTCCTTTCGTTTCTGCCATTATTAGCAATTCACTAAAGAGTCATTATCCTGTTTAGGGGAGCCTCGCTCACCCACTTAGCCGCCCAATCTCTGTCTGGGTGGCTTTTTATACCCTCCACGTGGCCTAATGTCCCCAATTTGCTAACTTTCCATAGATTTTTCATCATCATGCCACACGACTTCTGCGGAGGCGAAATCACAAATTGCCGGTTCGTTGGCATCCAGCCTCAACCCTCTCGCTGTCCGATCACCAGCCTCATTGTCATCATCATTATCATCAGTCGAGTGGGTGATTTTTGGGCGGTGAACCCGCCAGGCAAAAAATTCACTCTCAACATCTCGATATCCTTCAACTTTCGGCGCGCTTTCGCATGAAAAGTTGTGACTCCTTTCTTTGTGCCTCACTTTCAAGCCACCCTTCTTCTCCCAACCGACCCCCCACCCCCTCCCATGCACGCACATTTAATATACTGTCAAGGAAAATTCATGTGACATGGCTGGCTTTCATCAATAGAAGAAGTTGATGGATAATTTTCTCATGTGATGTTCTCCGTTTTTTTCCCATCTTATCTCTCTCTGTGTGATGAAAAGTCGCCGCATTACAGCTTTTCATCCCTCCCACAATTCAACATCCGGAAACTACACAGCAAGGCATTTTCTGGGGCGAGAGTTGAAGCATTTTTCCGAGCAGGGAATGTGGGAATGATTTAGCAAAGTTTGTCACATATAAATTTTAATTATTTAAACACACCTGTGTACATTTTCTCAAACTACAACACAGGACGACAAACAGCAGCAAACACACGCTATTATTTGCAATAATTAAACCATTTAAATTAGATTTTATTCAAGATATCATTTGAATAACTTTCATGTGACTCTCTCCATCCCAAAGCTATTTGCATACATTTCGGTCACTGTTTGGGGCAACTTTGATGATTTAACTCCGAGGCAATTTTGAACTTTGTACATAAATTAGTTGAAAGCTGCATCGCATTATCGTGTCTGACATTGAGAGGAGGTGGAAAATAAATGGCAAAACTATAAAGCCAAGGGTGGTAATTAATATTTTCACATGGATATTATCTCAGTCGGAAGAAGCAAAGAAAAAGAAAACTATTTTGAAGATATCTGAAGTGAGTGCCAAATGTGCAATTTCATTCAATTACACGCATGAACTTGCAAAGTTACCCGTCAGAACTTTCAGATAAATTCTCTTCTTCCATACGTTGAACTTTCTGACAGAAAGCTCTGTGATTTTTCCTCGTGCGCGACACAATATTAACTGGGGGGTGTTGAGAGATGAATTTCGATAAGAAGACAGAGAGAGAGAGAGAGGTCTTTAGGCATTCCAACGTATCACCTTCATCTCATTTTCACGCGCGCAAAAAAAGAAGAGGATGGAAAAAAGACTGATAAATTTCTGTATACTTTACGATTTTCGCACTTCTTTCTCATCGCCTTTATGTCATTCTCAAACCCCTTCCGGTTTGCCATATAACACTTTCATTGCCACCCCTAATATATCGCTGTATATATACAATAAACCTCAACTGAAATTGTCGCAAACGGTCTAATGACGTCACGCCACCCCCAGATAAAAGTTGAATTCCTCCAGCACCACATTCTCTCGAGGAACCCCTGATGGCGTAGAAGTGGTAATTTTTTTCATGAGTGGGCGAATTGAGATGGACTGAATGTGCGGAGAAACCACACGTTTTTCCCGCCACACACACACACGCCATAAGGGTGAGCGGCAAAAAGTGTTCAGTGCAATTAAGCAAATTGAAAAGAAGAGATCTACTAGTTGAAATTGTGTTGGGCCACTTGAGATGTGAGGAGCAATAAAGCAAATGAAAACATTTCTCTTCTCCGCTTCGGCCACTTTCTCGTTACGCTTTTTTCGCCCCCAGTCAAGACGAGATGGGCAAAAAATCACTCACAAGGAGATATTTCATTGGTAATCGTCAAAAATTGATGGCCAGGAGGATGTTAATTGCTAAGAATCAGCGCGAGGAACAGCGCAAGAGAGAAGATCTTCTGCGTGAGGGAAACTTCTTGAGCGTCTGAATGGAGAGAAGTAAATGATAATCCAGAAGCTAAGTGAAGTGTAGGGTAATTTATGGTTTTTCATTTTCATTTTCTTCTTCTCACCCTCCACCACAGCACAGCCAAAGGTGTGCTTTTCCACAATTCACAATTTTTCCACCTTTTCTCTTCAATCTCATCCGAAGCGCGTGCAAATTATACCTTTAAAAAATCGTAAATTTCCCCCCTTCAGAACAGTAGTATAATTGACACGCCATGAGACTTCTGTGAGAGAGAATGATGAAAGTCTGGCGGAGCTTTTGATGGAAAGTGACGAGAGCTTCTCTTGCCAATTCGCTCTTATGCGGCAGTCAGCCCTCAGCTTTCGCCGCACAGCATCCCCCAAATTGGAAAGTAAGCATGCGGGGGTTGGACTTTTATTAACAATAGAATATATAGAATCCAATAATCAGAGCGAGAGGGAGAATGGCGTGTTCTTGTCGTGGCGGAGAGATTCGCATTTCACCCTCATTGCTGTGGATGATGTGGTGCAAAAGGGGAAGTTTTGTACATGATAAAATCTCATGAAAATATCTTGTAAACATTTTTCCACGCAGGATTTTCCACAACTCCCTCCCCACACACTTTGCAAAACCCTTTCTATGCTGCTGCGGCACTTTGAATTTGGACGTCGGCTTAATCTAAGAGATGAAAAATGAGCTTTCACTCTGTGACACTGTCTATTTTTACATCTCCCTCCATCGCCACACTTTCTTTCTCCAGCCATGGAAATTCAATTGTGCGCGGCTATAAAACGACAAGCAGGCGCTCGCATCGGCACCAATTTGAATTTACACAGTTCAATATTAGTGTCACATGTTCGCACAGCAATCGCATAATGGGTGTGACTTTGCCACGAATTTCGCGAGACAATTCCAGAGTGTGGGAGTCATGCTGGAAAATGTCGCTCTGTGATGCCCACATAAATAACCCCCAGAAAGCTTTCCACATCGCGGCACATGAGAGGCAAAAGTTCTCCGCTAATTGCTATCTATTTTAATCTGCTCCGCGCGCTCACCAGCCTTAATTGTATGATTTCCATAGACGTAAAAACAATACTTCACGCATGCAAACGTTGAATTATTTCTGGAGCTTCAAAGCTTCTCTACAGATTCACTATGTGTGTTCGTCTATTTGCAGTAAAATTGTGAATTTTCAGACTAAAACCATCACAAGTTAATATTCTACATCGATCGAGGCGGAGAAAAAATGTTGGAGGATAACAAGAAAAATTCCATACAGAAGAAATCTAAAATAATATTTTTGTAAGAGTGTGTTTCCAGGCGAATAAATTGGCGTGTAAAGGAAGAGAAAATACGTATTAAATGCCTCTGGCCATATTTTCTGCTTAAGAGTCTTTTCCATGCACATCCCACGAAAGAAAAGCCCCCCCCCCCCCCTGAAGAGGTGGGAAGGAGAGCACTCTGCTGAAAATGCTACTCGAGTTGTGGTGTTATTTTTGGCCAAGGAGACTCTGTGACTACAAAGAGACGAGAATCGACTCCCGCAAGACCGCCACAAGACACGTGATTTGCATTTTTCCGTCGCCTCTCAATAGCTTCTGCTTCTAATATTTAAAACACACTCAATGTGCAGATAGATGATCGCCAAAATTGGGAGATTGCTGCTGTTGATGTTGTTAAAAATTCCCAGCATGTTTGTGCATTACAGCAATTTAATGCCACGCAAGCGAACTCGCGCAGAGCTCTGGCTCTATTACGTCGTCACTTCTTGGCTCGAAGACACCAAATCTGGTGGGATGTGCGGTTGGCTCATGTACGAACATTAGGAGTATTATGTGCATGAATTTATGTGTGTATAGCAATATCTAATATTCAAATAAAAGGATAAATTCTACCCTCGTCACTTTGAGAATTTGCATGAATCTCTTATTCACCCAACGATCCTGGCGAAAGCTCAACAGCGCCACTCGCCGTCCATTTGGATGTCAAATTGTCTTTCACGTTGCAATCCCTCTCTCAATAAATTATGTGAGTGAGTATGAAAATAATAAATTGAATTACCGAGACGTGAGGGATTAATTTATCTCCCCGAGGTGACACTCTGACTCCTGCGGCATCGGGAAACGGATGCCACAACAATTGACTGTCTCTCGTGCGTGATGTACGGTCGACAGGTGATAAATTTTTACCCTGATTGTTGATAAAAGGGCAAATCACTCCCCCCAGAACACACTCACAATGCCCAGAGATTTCATCTGAGATTTCGCCTGAGATTCACCACAGATTCAGTCAGCCAAAGGAAGTCCATAAGTGATGAACTTCTCTAAAGGAAAAATATCATGCGATGAATCCTTGCCGCTCATGAACATGCCAAGACATCTCTTTTCCCCTCTCTTTCGCTCTGTCGTTACCTTTTTCCTCCCCCAGGAGATTTTCCGGGAAAAAGGTCAAATACTTCTCCCCTGATTTTCTGTGACTTTGGCGCGTCATTAATATTTCATAGAGGAGCTTTGCGACTTCAGCGGCAGCTTTTCACTCCCTCAATCCCCGTAAAGAACACTTTAAAGCTCCTCCGCGCTAGACAATCCCTCAGCAAAGCTCCTCTCCCAGGTAATGCCAAAAATCCACTTCTGAGTGCAATTGAAAGTCAATTCTTTGTTGGAGATTCACTCTGAAAATCGACAAAATTCCCATGACAGCGAAATGATAACAAAAGGGCGGAGAGAAAAAATTTCTCTGAAGATGTGGAAAAAGTTTTCCATTCAAAGTTTGTGCCTTCGTTTTTGCCAAAAGGAAAGGGTCTAAAAGCAGTTTGCGTAATATTGTAAAAGTGTATTTTAAA